CAATTGTGAAACGATTCCCGTCGGGCCTACGCCCAGGCACGCACACACGCGTCGCTCTCGAATGCACATGCGGCCCGATAAATCAATCGGAATTGGAGAAAGCGGTTACGTGCGAGCGTGCATCGCGGATAGCGTAGGAGTAGGAGTAGGAATATACGCAGTATCGATCGACGATCCGGCTTATCGCGTTAAGCTTGACACTGAAGCTTCTCGTGCAGCAATGGCTGTATCTAGAAAGTAACTACGCGTGTGCATGTGTCGTGTCGTGGGCGGACACGCTCGGGCGCTTTTGCTTTTCGTCGCTGATAAACTGCCTTGACCCGTTGCACTTTACTTGGAATCGAGCGCTCGCGGAAATTCGGCGCTCTGAAAGTTTCATGAGCCAAGCTAGCCATTGCGGATTCTTTGAGATGCGACGCGAATATTCCTGTATCGGCGATCGGACGATTTCATCGGTGTCGAGCGCTTGCCCCGCAAGTGGAAGAGTTAACGTTGAAAAATATTCGTCCTTACTTTGCGTGCTTTCCGCCTCGTCGATTTTGAAATTTGAAATCCGAGCTCGAGTTGCAGCGAAACTGCCGGACTTAATTTCCCCGTCGGAAAAGTCCCTTCTCCCGATCCAATGGGCACGATGGCTTTGTGCGCCTGATACATTCGTTCTCGGTAATATCGTTTCACCCTGCACGAGAAATTCAATTGCCGTACGTGCTTTGAGTTACGCGCCTGTCGGGAAGTATTTCAGAGAATCTAGCAGTACACCGCTCGGTTACACTTTTCATCGGAGTAACTTCCGATCGACTAGCAAAGTTAGCTTAGTTCGTGCCGCACAGGTAATGCACAGTGTGCAGACTCGTGTCGTTGCGGTGTACGGGTGGACGCAGTTGAGATACGACGCGCAAGCTGTAATCGATCGAGCGCTCGCTGCGACAAACGAGGGAACACTTCGCTAAATGCGATTCGCATCGCCAGGCGTACACGCATGAAGCAGCTCGCCTTGAAAAGTCCGAGGGAAGAATGCGTCGTCGGCCGTGGCTGCCGAACACGTCGATGGGAATCGAAGCCGAGAAAGCGTCGCTCTCGGTAAAATCCGATAAGCCTCGGCTCGCAGGGAGGCTGGCCGCGAAGATCAAAGGCGAGAGGAGCGGAAGATGAAGCGCGAGCGGCAGAGAGGCTTCCCCTCGATTCGGCCCGCGCCGTTGGAGCGACGACGGCCGCACACGTCGCCTTTTCTGTGTCAGCGGAGCAATAGAGCACAGCCGGGCAAAAGTAAGATCTCTCCGGGGAGAGCTTTTGCGCGCGCACGGCGCAGTGGTCGCCATGACAACATTTTTCCGCAACGTACACGTAGCGTCGCGCCGGCGCACTGGAGCCCCCTCGCGCGCGAACGTAGACGCTGCTGCTGCCGCTGCCGCTGCCGAGCGACTGCTGCGCGCTCTAATTGATTGCGCCTAGCGCGTGTCTCCGCGTATCAAAGCTAAACGGGGGCCTTCCACTTCTAAGCTTCCTGGGGTTTATTAATGAACACGAGATCAACTTCGTTTCTTCTCCGAGGGAAGAGAGACAGCGACGGACGAGATTTTCACGCGAATGAATGATTGCAGTTAGGCGTTCTATCAAGGGTATTGACATATTCTTGTTTTCTCTTTTTTTCCCTTTTCTCCAAGCTTCTTGTTGGGTTCTTCCAGCGAGACCATATCTTTTTTTTCTGAATCAAACTTTAATCGCAACTAACATTCTTATTCGTCTTATAGTCAATATTTGTCCACGTATTTCGAATGATAAGCGTCATTCACGGCACAAATGTTCTTCAATTCATTTTTCTAATACTTTTTAGTATAATTATTAAACAATTGGGTTAACTATTCATTTGCACAGATAAATATTAAAAACGTTTAATCAGCGATGAAGATTTTGGGAAAAATATCTATATGCCTACGAACACAACGTTGATGTTCTACTTACGACTCCGTTGAAGTTGCATTACGTATAGTCCTAGTTACTCGAGAAACATATATAAGGATATACGATCAACTTATAAGTTCATGGTCTTTTTATTTATGCTTGTAAAATATATTTTTATTTTATTTCCCATAAATTTGACTGAGCGAACACAGGCTAAAAAACCAAGTAAAGCCCTGTCGTCATCAAAGTCAGTTCGCTCAAGAGTTATAGAAGCTTGGCAAAGTCAAGCTTACAAAAATAAAAAGAAAAGTCCTTGCCGGTACTCAATCAACATCGGTATTACAAATTTCGTATATAAACCATGAGCCGACGATGAGCTCGTCGACGCAAAAATACATATAAAAACAGGCACAATATTCCGCTCTGTCGCGGTGAAAAGTCGCTTACCGTTGGCATCATTTGTATATTCGCACCGTCAGCGCCATTCGGCATTGTAGCGCTCACTGATCAAATATATTGACGTCACAGCAGCACTCTCAGCGTATAATAGCGGCCCGCCCACATCGACTTGTCGAAACAATCCGACCGACGTACGCGCGTCGGACTATATCTCTGCCTTAGCTTTCTTTCCCGGCCATTTTACAAAGGCGCCTGGGCAATTGACAGCTGTCGGCATCGCGTCCTTTCAATCCGTTCCGAAGTATTGATTTCAAATTTGGCACGCGAGGCTGTGCGATAGGGAAGGTCGCTTGCCACGAGGGTTCGTAGCCACCAGAATGTCCGTAAGATTTTCTCCAAATCAAGGGAAGCGGAGCATAATATCTCTACTCGAGTCTCTTCGAGGAAAGTGGCTTGAGATTCAGATGTGTCCTGTCAGGTGGTAAGTGCTGTATGTACAGAGATTGACGGCTTTTTTTTCTTTCTCTCTTTTTTTTTTTTAAAGAGATAACGGAAATCCTTCGTGACGATTCATCTTGCCGTTGAATTTTGAAGAATTAGGCGCGAAGAATGAATGGACTCCGCGAGAATGCAAGAACGAGGAAGAAAGTTTTGTATATTGTTGGTTGATTGATCGTTAAAAGTAGCAGCGAGTCTTTATTTATTTACACTGGCAGGGCATATAAAATTGACGTAGTTTTCCAGGCTGGAATTAAGAAAGAAAGAAGAAGCAGCAGTGGCGATAAAACTAAAGGATATAGAAGTCAAAGAAAGAGTGAGAGAGCGCGCGCGCGCCTTAAAAGTGTTGTTCCTCGCACGGCGGTAGTGTCTTAACGGCCCTCGCCTCGCGCTATAAACCTAGACAAATGATGACATTAGGAAGCTCACGCGGCACCAAGGAAAGAACGCACGCATACGAGCGTAATTGGGCGTGTCGTCGTCGTCGCTGAGACGAGGCGAAAGGATCGATTGGAAATAATAATCCGCTCTAGCTTTCGCGTCCACTTAGCGCGCAAATGATAACTCGATCGCTCGCTCTCTCGCGCGCGCGCGCCGCATTGAGTTGCGCGCAAACAGATCAATAAAATGCGAGAAACCATCGTAGTCGTCCCCAAAAGACAAATATCCCCGCACACATACGTAAGCGCGCGTAAAGGGAGGAAAGTGTGTGAGAGAGAGAGAGGGGAGAAGCTCTGCGTCACTTTCGACTCCCAAAGGCCTGTAGCGTGACATATGTTGTGCCTCGCTTTCTCTCTTCCTCTCGTTCGCTCCTATGTAGGATGAATGAATAGTCAAGTAAAGGACACTGGACCACGCGACATGCGCAGGCGTGGTTTCTTTCTCGCACTTTAATTGGCCCGATTTGATTGATCATGCACGACTGTATGTGTAAATTGCAAGAGAATTTCAATTTGATTTGTTCTTCGCGACCGAATGTTCGCAGCCGATGGATTTGGCTGGCTGAGATTGGAATAAAAATGAATTAATGAAGCTTCTGTAAGCACGGAAGGACAATTACTTTCCCGAAGTCATCCAATTTGTACGGCACAAATGTCTCGTCGTTCACTGATGATAGTCCATCGTCCTGGTAAGCGCGACGCATGCGAGCGTCGACAAATCTCATGAGCGAGAGAGAAGAGAGAGAGAGAGAGAGAGAGAGAGAGAGAGAGAGAGAGAGAGAGAGAGAGAGAGAGAGCAAGAAGCCAACTGAAGACTATATGTGGTGTGCGGCGTGCCAATTGAATGCGCGTGCGCAAAAAAGTAAAAACTGGTGGAAAATCGGTGTGCCGACCTCGTTTCTCCTTTCATTTGCGTTCCTCGCGGAAAACAAACTTGTTTTACGACCGGATGAAGAATCGCGCTCCTTCTTCGAAAGTGGAGCTGTTAGGCAGCCACCTCCTCCTGAATTGACAAAGTTGCGCTCGTAAACGCGCACAGCGATATTCATTGAAATTAGTTTGAGAGAGCTCCGACATGCAGCGAATTGTTGATAATCGAGGCGTACTTTGCGCGAGTTTGCGGGGACGACCATGTGTTATGTGTTTGCTTTGTTGATTCAACGAATTGCGCCATTGATGGCTTGTTTATTATACTCGATGCGACTGGTATAGAGTAAGAGTAATAAAAAGCCCATCGGCCAAAGTAACCAATTCATGCAAGTGAATTGGTTACTGTTCAATTGGTTATGATGGGTTTTTGTTGACTTTAGTAGGAAATAACCAATAAACGAGCATGCAACGTGTAAATATCGAAGCCAAATCTGCGGTACCAGAGTCAGTCGGAATAAGCGGAGATTGATAAACGAGATATAACATGTTTGCTAAATAGCGAGCGACAAGTTTGCGTTGTAGCGGCAGTTTAGTCGGTGTCGCGCAACGTAACTGACTTACGGAGGTCTTATGAATAAGCCGCTTATAATGGATTCGCGCGTCGTCCGGTCGTGCGCAGCCGCGAAATCGTCAGGTAGCGAATTTTAATTCAGCTCCGACGTGCCGCCCGTTTCCCAATTAAAAGCGACAGCTTTCCCCATTGACCCATTTTTCGCGATCGATCAACGATCCATTCGCAACTTGCCGAAAGCCCTTTCTTGCCCGTTGTTGCGGTTGTCAGACACTGTTATCGCTTACTAATACACTGTTTCTCTTCTTGATATGTTGCAGATACAAATTTGACTGACGCGGAGTATACTATGATAATTCTGATATCAGATTGATTATAACCGCCGCTTCATGTATACGTAAGTATATGGATCTCGTCTTTTACTAGAATTATCCGAGATATCGCGCGTGATCCAACAAATTTCACGCGCACCGTACTAAATACACCATTTTTGATGGAATTCGATTCTCAAGGTGGGCGCTTGCTTCGAAAGCGCCTCAAATGTCACGATCGATCTGATTTATCGGGCGACGCGGCACACCGAGCTACCTTTGTACGCTCTTTTAGTTAAATACGAGCTTAGTGCATAGCAGCGCGCATTAGAAGTCTCATCAGTGCTTTAATACCTGCCTCCGTCAATACAAAAATAAAGCTGCCCGACGGGAGAGCGAAAGAGCGAAAGAGTACGTCGGTTCAACAGGCACCTAATTGCAGAAAAATTATCGGGCTGAAACGGCTATTAGCACTGCGACACGCAACTGTTAATTAAAAGTGCTGACAAAAGACGGTCAAGGATCTCACTCTTTCCTTCTCTCTCCCTTGCAATACCACTTTCTTCCTTTTTTCCCCCCTCGCACCTCCTTCTTTTCTCTTCTTCCTAGAGTTGCAGCTTACATTGACAGCAATTATCCAAGTTTATTTGTTTTTCAGCTGCGCGAGAAAGTACATTCTTTTATTACAATTTTTTCGTTTCCAAGGTGGAAATGCTCCTTGTGCTCCTAGCTTGAAATTCTTGTTTGTTCTACGCAATAATTCAATTGAAACGAGATAAAGGTGCGTCATTTCATTAACATTTTTCAGTCCAACCAGAAATCCATACTTATTGAAAATCTCAGCTGAATCGTGTTTAAATTAAAAGCAAGTAGAATTTATTACGGGAGTTTCAGTCTAAAAAAAAAGGTCCCGTGCACGCGCCTTATTCTATATAACAATTAGTCTTCTGCGACGGCTGCGACTACTCAAGCACGTGCTTCCTCAATTCACGCACGGCTCGAGGCTCGGAGCTCCGTGCCAGTTCGAAGGTTCCAAGCTTTCTCGAAGCTCCTCAAAAACGGTCACGCATAATTTCGAAATTGAATTTAGCAGTGCAGGAACTCGCAAACTCTCGACGGTTTAGCGTCAATTCATAAGCCAGGCTGAAGAACAACTCGAGAGTTCGCGCTGATCGGAAACTCGCGAGCTCGGAATCTCGAGAGCTGAGCGCACGCAGAAGTCTAGCTGAAAAATAAAGACGAAGAGCATAGTGGGATCGATAAATCTAACCGAAAACTTGTTTTTGGGAAAAATCCTGAAGCAGCAGGTCGGACATGAGAAATCTTGGTTCGAGGTGTAGTACGGGCCCCAGTAAACCAGGCACTGCCTCAGCGCGTTCTCTGTCATTGGTTGCACGCGAAGAAGAATTAGTGTCGTCGTCGATCGAGTCGCCGCAACTGGAGGAAGAAGAAGAGCAGCAGCAGCAGGGCGCGCGCAGCGAGCAGCGATCACGGAGGACTACGAATAGCAGTAGCCGTCGACAGAAGGGTCGTCGCCAACTCGTCACTGGTGGCGCCCAGCAGCCGAATTCGCCATCATCCGTCCGGCACGTGTCGCCGTCATCGTCACATCTAGCCTGGATCACGCGGAGGTCATTGGCTGCGGCAAGCAGCAGCCGTTGCGGCCGCAGAACGCAGCTCAAGCGACGAAGCCAGGATCGAATTCGCTCATCGCGCTACACAAGCGACCGGCATTTCCGAAACCGTTGTTAGCACCGATAGCAAGGTAGCTCCTCGCCACTTCTCATCCAGACGCATTTTCGAGTTACATCTCGGTTGATACCAGTCGACAGGCAGGCCTTCGACTCACGGCTTGCTGCCGTAACTCGTCGCGCCAACAATAATTTTACTCGGCTTATCGCAAACCGCATGTTTCTTTGGTCTTACCACGGATTTTCTTTCTGCAATTTTTCATACCGATGCGGCTTCCCCCACCGAAATCCAATTAGTTTGTTTTTATTTTATTTTATTACACACAAAGTTAGTTTCACTCGATTGCAGTTACAATGAGTTGTATAATTGTTACATTCTTGTAACGTTGCTTTCTTTTACCGAAGTTTCACCGGGAATTATTTTCAAGATGAACTGCAAACTATCGAACTAAGGAGGGGGTCGTGAAAACGATGGAAAACTTTCGTTCTATTGTCTAACCGATTGATACCGAAGTCGAACTTGCTATTGTAATGTCATCGTAAGGGAAGTTGCACAGTGGCGGAGAAAAAGTTTTGAATGTCAACGACAATTATTCGCTCCAATGTATCGTTTGCGGTGCGAAAAAAGTAGATAAAAACGAGCGACTCGTCTAGTTCGCAGAGTTAATCTGTCGTTAATCAAGCTTGAACAAGCAATAAAAATAGGGAGTCGATAGCAAAAGTCAAGTCACGTGCACAAAATGAAGCAATCGACGGTGGCAATGTAACTCGGGAATGGAAAATGCGCATATGTGAGACGATAAACGATTGATGGATGACGTTGTGTTGGCAGGAAGGTTGCTTAGTTGTGTGCAGCCTAGACAATGTCCCAAGTTTCTTCATCTATATCAGAGGAAGAACGAAGTTTGTTCCGTCCGTTCACGCGGGAATCACTAGCAGCGATAGAGGCTCGCATCGCCGAGGAACTTGCTAAACAAAAAGAACTCGAGAAAAAAAGAGCTGAAGGCGAGGTAAGTCCCATCTCTCTTTCCTTCTTCATTTCATGATGTCTACGTTGCGGGGCGCCGCTCGCTCAAACACTGGCGCGACTATATTTATACAATGTCCGATAAACCGATAGTTCACCTTGTTTTTTTATTGTTTTTTTTTATTCTTTTTCTCTGTCGCGTGCGAGCTTCTTTTTTTATTATCCGTCGTCGTAGTGGTCGAGCTGCTGATCGGCCGCTTTACTACGATGACGACAAAGTCAGGGTTGGATAGCTAACTGATAATGACTCTTTCAGGTTAATGTAGTATGTACTTTGACATTGCGCGTATATGTGTATGCTTGCGGAGGTCCACACACGTTATTACATGGTGTATTGCTGCATAAATAGTTTGTTCGAAATGTGTTGCGACATGGCAATATAATTTAGGTTACCCTATAATAAACTTATCCAGTGAGTGCGTTATCAAGTCAATTTTGCGAAGCTATTTTGTAATTAAAAGTTTCTCACGAGATTCGATATTATTCAAAGCCAAACAGTACAGCCGAACAAATGACATCGATGAAAAAGTTACTATAAGTAATACAATTTTCGGGGAATGAGAATCACCCAAAAGTACAAAGACAATGCAGCAATAATCTATTCATGCAGCAATCATTAATAAAATGATACGTAGCTGTCGTAGAAAAATAAAAGCGAGAGTCTTCGAGCAGTTAGCTTCGTGCAAAGTGCTGAATGCAAAACGCTGGGGCGCGCGTCTGTGTTTCTGTGTCGGTGTATTTCCGTCAAGTCAAGCCAGGCAACTGTAACGCATCACGGAGAACTGCAATGCGGGTTCGCTCGAAGAGGCCAGCGGCGCGCATCCGCGGAATTCAGACTGGAGAAGAGAAGAACTTTGTGGCTACTGAGTGGTTCTCCCTCGCCCTGTATACTTTTTCTCGTTCGTTTGAGTTTTGCGTAGCTGTTTGAATTTCGTTCACTAATAACCGCTTTCTCTGTTCTCTCATTTTTGGAAAGCGGTTGCATTTCTTTTTTTTTTTTCTATCGGTCATTGTCGGAAAATTTTTGATTTCTTACATGTACAATATAGATTATCATTCGTCTCTTCTAAGCAGTTTAACGGGAAAAGCTTTTGAGAAATTGAGGGGGTTCAAGATAATGAGAAAGTTTAATGAAGAGCGCTATTATCGGGATAATCTGTACCTTAAGTAAATAGCCGAGCTTTTACTCTACAAGAAAATGTTACACTGAAATATCACAATCGATTTTCGAAGACTTAAAAAATCCGCATGAGAGTGAACTTTTTGATACGAAAAAGAATCGACACAGCCATTGCACGTATTCTGCCGAAAAAGATTCCTGAATTTATTCGATTTTTCCATTGGCCGGATAAGCTTGCTAGCGAGCTTTTTGAAAAATACTCTGACCGTTTTCCACTGGCGGAACACCTTGCGATGCAGTCAAGTCGTGCGAAAGCGATTTTCGGCGCACGCGTACGGAGATTGTGCGTCAATCTTGCCTGAATATCTTGCCGCTCCGCTCGTACATTACGCTATGGCGCGCTATAATCTCTCTTCGACTCGCCGGGTGTGCTTGTGTGCGCGAAGGTACGAGTTACTTGAGATTACGCCGCGCGAGCCTGATAGATGCGCGCTTGGAGCTATCTTTCCCTCTCTCTTTATTTGCGTCACGCCCACAGTGAGATCTTAATTATTTGGTGCTTCGAGGCTCATTTCGTTTTGCATTCACGCCTACCAGTTTTGGGAATAGCATTGCGTGACGATTCAATGATATTTTATTCCTTTGGAATAGATTTTACTTTCATATTGTCCAAGTTCTATTCTCATACATTCATTGAGTGTCACACATTTACTAAACCACGAATTCAATTTGAAATAACTGAAAGAATACGCCTTCATTTTTTATCTCCACATTCGACTTCAACGTGTAATACCAAAATGAAAAAAGCACTATATGAATACGATTACATTGTCACGTCCGGTTGAAAATCGAAGAATCTATGTCACGTCGATGTATGACACATATATCGATGTACAGTCAACTTTCACATATATATACGTGGTAAAATTCACAATGAAATCAAATCCAATCATCTCCAACGTATATATGTATCTATATTATATAAATACACAGAAACTCTCTCTCTCTCTCTCTCTCTCTCTCTCTCTCTCTCTTTCTATCTCTCTTGTAACTTCTCTTTAGTATGTGCTATATTGATCGCTATATATACATACATCTGTGTGATATATCTTTACATTATGTTGTGTGTAGTATAAATACACGTAAATCAACGTGCTAAATATATCAATGCTAGAATTTCTATTGCTCTGTGTTCTCCTTCTACACATCTTGTCTCTAGCAATACGTATACAACTATTTGATTAAAAAGCGTTGATGTATACAAATGAAGGTTACTACATTACATCCTTTGCAGACGAGAAGTTTACAGTCTCTCTTTCTCTAAATTTTATGCAAATACTTCATGCTTTCGTTGTTTTACGATGCCGCATCAAAGTCTATTTTTATTTCCTTTCCTCTTTTTTTTTTCCTTTTTTTAGTTTTATGTAATTGCTTGAGTTTTGAGACCGATAAACTTCTCATGTTGGGATTGAACTACAAGGGGTTTCAAGTAGTTTTAGACTAATTTTAAGCAAAGCTTGTAATGACTTTTTGATCCGTTTGGATAGACATGAAAGACATTACAATGGAAATTATCGACGGATAAACATACAATCTTTCTGTTTTCTTTTTCAACATTTTTTTTTCAAAAATCTGTTATCTCATTTTGACAATTTGTTTGTCTCATCATCTATCATCATCGGCAAATATGCTCGTATTATATAAATCATCTATTACGCTATATTTACCACTCTGTTGTTTGCGCCTATTTGTGTGTGTGTGTGTTCTTTCTGTATTTAATGTAACCGAAACTTGTTTTTTCTCCATTTTTCTCCAATTGCAGACGGGTTATGGACGGAAGAAAAAGAAAAAAGAAGTAAGACCTTATGCGCCCACGTGTGTGTGCTAAGTAAAAACAATAAAAACCTGCTCCATACTATAATCAAAAATGAGAACGTGAACGTCACGCTTTTTTTCGCTCTACCCTTATTTTCTTTTGCTAAAAGTCTGTTTTCTCTCTCTCTCTCTCTCTCTTTCTCTCTCTTTCTCTCTCTCTCTCTCTCTCTCTTTCTCTCTCTTGCAACTCGAAAGCTTTCTCACGTTTATATATTCTTCGTTTTTTGCTGCTTACGCGAAAATAATTAGCGCCCGCTCAAATGTATTAGCTCGATTTCACTTTCCCTCTTCGTCCGTATATTAAAGTCTTCATTCAATTTACGTTAAATTTTGTTATGTCTACTTTTGTCTTTTGTTTGTTTTTAACTAGTAATACTTCGCAACTGACTGAAAGATAATTGGCAAGTTTCTAACTAATCTCGAACAAAAACATCCAATGGACTTTTTTCTGCGTTGTACTGAAATCGAGTTCTTACATAAAATGTTCTGGTTGCTGTTGCTGTCACACGCTAACTGCACTCAATCGCTGAAAACGCCGTTTAAAACAGCTAAAAAGTACTAAATACAAGAAAAAAAAGATAACTTGCTTATCTGTGTAGCTTGTTGATTCTGAGTATTATTAGTATGCAGCTTATGATTGTGGCGCGTGCGAATGAAAGTATGAGCTTCTGTGCCTTTTCTATGTCTATCTACTTCTATATTCATTTTTCAAAACTGCTACAATGACATATATCACTGGAATGCTACATTACAAACAAAGAAAACTCACGTAGTTGAACAATTTCGCGGATCTTCGTCGAAAGTTTATTTATTTGTATATCCGAAGTTTTTCATTGATCATCACCTTCAGTTAATTATTTTTATTTTTATTTTATTCTCCTTTCTATTAAGCTGTCTGCAAAAACTCTAATCGTCCAGAGGTAATTTCAAACACGCACGCGAACTTTGTACACGAATTATCTTAGTCAATAGAAAATTTGAGCGAAGTAAATCTAAAACATGTATTTTTAGCACGCACTCATTGAAAGTAGTCTAGGCAACAAAAGACAAAAACCAGAAAAAATGGAATGAAGAAAATGAAGCGATTATTTATTCGTTTCAGCTTTAAGATATATATTAATTAGTTAGTAAGATATATTTATAGACAGTTGTATCTTCTTCTGTTTTTAGTTTAGAATAATCGAGTGTATTTTTATTTTCGCCAAACACTTTTTGTCGAGAAAAATAAAAAAGTCAGACAATAATACAGTTAATTCAACGATTAATTTAATCAAACCATCACATGCCTTTATAATATTTAAGTCACGATGACGAAGTATTGCGCTGAAAATTGAAGTATATCGGTTTTTTACGTATTTTCATAACAACATCGACATGATAAAATGATACTAAAAAATATATTTGCTGCACTCAGCCTTTTTTTACACGGCAGCAAAAACTTTTTTGCACACTCTTTCTTGACTTTTCAACTTATAATAACTTAGATATGTTTACGATCTTTTGAAATTTTGCTTTGTCAACAGTTTTTCAAATAATTATTTTTATATAATCAGCCTTTTTTACATATATAACAAGCATTCAAAATTTACATTCCACTAAACAATAACTTTTTTTAACATTGTTTTGAATACTTATATGTCTGCTAATTGACACAACGAAGACAAATTTTGTAATTTTTTTTCTTAATATACACTTCGATAACACGCATAATTAAAATGTTGTAACTCTTATATCAACACCTAAGCATTTTCTACCTGACTGTTTTTGCAGCCTTAAGCTAATCAAACTATGAACTATTGAGGATAATTGTTAGAAATTAATAAATATTCAATATAATTTTAAAAAAGTTTGCACATCAAAGGCTGAGAGACCGCAGTGCTAGAAAGTGCCGTAAATACTTATTATTAAAGCGATAAATTACACTCACTTTTTACGCATTTATTCCGAATTGTCTTAGTGGTGCTCTGATCAGATTTCAATAACAGTTGTTTCAAATCCTCAACACGATTGAAAAAGTGATTCTTGAAATTTCATCCGAAGCGCCTAGATGAGTTTATTGACACTGCTCACGCAGCTGCATCTTGAAGATCTTAGGATTAGTTTTAGTTTTAAATTGGCGAGGAGCCGTTTAAAATATATTAGATTTTCCATTGACGAGAGCAGTAGCCTTGACGTGAAGTATGGAAAAATTCTTCTGGACATATAGTTAGCTCAGCTTATTTAGTACCAATTGCTTAGAATTAGATTGCCTACGATGTAATATTTAGGAGACACAGATTATATTAGCTTTGCCTACAATACAGTCAGTAAATTTTTGAGATCTTTTCATATGTAAATAAGGTTACTTATGGTACTTGATTTTCCATACTTCCCCTTGCTATTAGTGACTGCACCAGTTTTGGTTTTCTAAGCGCAATTAGTCAAATTAACGAGCAAACTCGAACGAAGTGAAACTCGCAAGGTTTACACCGAAAATCACGCAGCAGTTGTCATAATCTGATTGATCGTACAAGTCTGCTCGAACCTTAGTTGCTCTCCTTAGGAAACGTGCGTATGTGCGCACTATAAGTGTCTGAAAAGAGGCTACTGCTCAAAAGAATACTAAAAGATGAGCAAAGCCGACGCTGTCGCAATGTCGGCTCCTCGCGCGGTGTCCCTTTATCCCTATATAGTTTCAATTATGCTTTTTGTTTTTTCTCGCGCTGGGAAAACTTGGGAGAGTGCTAATACGTTGGCTGTGCGTTTTCGTAGATTCGATATGACGACGAAGATGAGGATGAGGGTCCACAGCCGGATCCGATGTTTGAGCAAGGAGCGCCCATTCCGGTCCGAATGCACAACGATTTTCCCTCCGAGTTGGCCTCCATACCTCTTGAAGATATTGATAATTTCTACAATAATCAAAGGGTAAGTCCATATCATATTTCAAACTTTATTTTGGTTGGTTTTTAAAAGCACTAAATGACTATTTCGATTCTAGGGAAATACCAAAAGAGCGTATCTTTTTTTATTTATCATAGAAAACCTTTTAAAATCAATTTAAGCCTGCTCAACTAAAAATGATATTCTATTTTTTTAAAGAAATTTCGCCTAATTATTTAACTTTTTGCACTTGAATCTGACTGCATTTAAAACTCAAATGTCTAATATCGCCTGTTGATTATTGAGCTGCCACATCAAGTTAATTTGGATTAAATAAATAAAAAAAAAGTTAATTTGGTCACTGATCAACGCAAACCTATGAAAAAAATTATGTTGCAGACATTCGTGGTTATTAGCAAGGGTAAGGACATATTTAGGTTCTCAGCGACAGATGCCATGTGGATCCTCGATCCATTTAACCCGATTAGGCGGGTGGCCATCTACATATTGGTCCATCCCCTTTTCTCTCTCTTCATCATTACTACTATTTTGGGTAACTGCATACTCATGATCATGCCCACGACGCCCGCCATCGAATCTACTGAGTGAGTATTTTTCTCTCTTCGAACATCGATATTCGATCTCTCTCTCTCTCTCTCTCTCTCTCTCTCTCTCTCTCCCTCTGTCTCTGTCTCTCTGAGCTACAAAATGAGAATTCACGTTTGAATGCGCATCACGTATGCTTGAAAAGAATCTGCGCTCGAGAATGAGACTGAAAAAACCTATTGTGTGTGATTTTTCAGAGTCATATTTACGGGCATCTACACATTCGAATCCGCCGTTAAGGTGATGGCGAGGGGTTTCATTCTGCAGCCTTTTACCTATCTTAGAGATGCATGGAATTGGCTCGACTTCGTAGTTATAACTTTAGCGTGAGTAGCTCATTATTTACTACAACTATCCATCTACTAGTACGCGATGCCTGCGTAAGGCCAGCAAATTCAATTTAACTTAAGCTAAACTACATAATGAACACCTTGTGTCATGTATCTTCGGATATTATAGAAGGTATCTCTTCAATTTTCGAATGTTCGGGAAAATCTTAACTTCTCGCCATTCCATTTCTATAATTATCTTCAAAATACGATGCTAACAATCCATTTTGGATTCTTGTGTATGAAATTCCACACCGTCATGACTAACAAGTTGCAGAGATACGCTCGTGTAAAATACACTCTCACGTTTCCACACTCACTGGTGCGAGGAGTGAGATTATGATTAAGGCATATATTATATTATCAATATTATAAAAGTATGTACACCAAAAGAAGAAAAAACAAAAAAACAATGTTATCATATCATCACAAATATCTAATGATAATTTTACGACTAGACTGATGGAGCTCCCCTACTATAATAATGTAGCATTTATCGGATGAAGGAACACACTCTCTCGAGATCAGAGTGTATGCTATCAAACCTACTATTTTTCTATCTATATATACTTGTTTTAAATGTGAAACGTTCTTAACATGTGTGTCATCTAGTTAGAGCATCGACGATCAACTTTAGTCACTACGAAAAAAAATCAGTTTTAGAACAAAAAAGTATGCCGTAGACGCAGATCTATATCTTAGATGAGTCAAGTGCGAATGCACGTTTGTAGTTTGTGCAGCGAAGAAGAATAAAGTTTACCGCTGAGTCAGAAATATAGTTTCCAGACAAGTGAAATGGACGTAATTGACAAATTTTTAGAGCCGCGAAAGGTGTCGAATTTTGTATTATGGACGCGCGCAATTGATAAAACTCGAGTCGATGTACGTGGTACCTTTCTTTCGTTCACTCCGTCCACTGTCTACTCTAAAGTGATTTTCTTACCATAATTTCATGCTCATTCGTATACGCGCTAGTCCGATTAAATAGCTATTAATTTTTTGTTAGACTCCGCACTACTTTGGTTACGTTCGATTAAGCGATGTGGCTCGCTTTTAGTCGATTACGCTGTTATATCAAGAAATTAGTATTGATTATGCTATTTACGATAATTTAATAATTAATTTCTGTATCCAATCTCAAATATAAATAATTTTGCTAGGTCAAATTCCATTATCATGTATTTTCAAGTGGATTTTAATGTTGATTTCGTGTCCCGAACACATTGAAAGATTGCTACAAGTAGTATAAATCAACGAATAGTCAAACGAACGATCTAAATTATTATAGCTCACACTTTAGTTATTGATATTTGTCATAAAAATTAGCTCACGTTAGACAATCATTTTCATAAACAAAAAAATTAAACAAAGTATTTGTTACAAGAGTCGTTAACTATTTTAGTATAGTTTAAAAACATTTTATAAATGTGTTCACGCGTATAATATACACATTAATTTGATAGTTATGTATACCAATTTAATGGAACCCTCCAATCTTTTGTATAATTGACATTTCGCTCGTCGATTTGATAAAATATAAAACTATAAATTTGAACTTTTATGCATGGACACATGATCGTAGTTTAGTGAGACATTCACATATAGAATTTTAAATAATGTTATTAGAAATACTTATTTGAATACTCAAGTAAATAATTAACTAATTTTCTATCATGGAGATGCATGAATTTCTAGTTCTTATAAATCCTACTATATTTGATAACAATAATTGATTACTTATAATCATTTTTTTCTCTAGAGTAAGAGTTTTCCAATCATAACATCATTATACTCAAATATTAGGAACTAGTGAGTCGTAGAAAAAGTAACAATTAATCGTGTTTGAAAATTTTTTGTTCAACTTTTGCCTAAGCGAAGTTTGTCGTTGTATTATTATTGTTTTAATGAACCTTTGCTATAATTATATTTCCCTCGTCCCTCTTTGATCATTGTAATGTGTATGTGATGTGTCGGGTATATTGCAGTTATGTGACGATGGGAATAGATCTAGGCAACCTTGCCGCTCTCAGGACATTTCGAGTCCTCCGAGCCTTGAAGACTGTCGCTATTGTACCAGGTACGCTTTAGAAATTAGCAAATAATTAGTTCATATGAAACATTTGATCTTTGAATGTCAATATAAAATAATAAAATACAATGTCAATAAGAAAAGTGACATTTCAAAGCTCAATTTGTTCAAATAGTGCTTAGTCATAGAATTTAATAATAAATATATAAAGTTGTACTTCATCCTACTTTTTTTTTGTATTTTTTTATCTTTGCCAGTAATATGCTATTGTATTTGTACAATTTTTTTGTGTGTACACTTTTAGCTTTACACTTTTCTCATAAAAATGCTGATTAACATATTATGTAACAACAAGTAGAAGTACACATAAATGCATTGCACTTAAATAACGTATTTATATGTTGGCGTTCGAGGTTTGTATAATACCTCTTTCAAAGGATTTTTATCTTTTTCTACAAACATCAATATGTTTTTCCATAAAAAATAATCATAAAAAATTGCGTTGACGCACTCATTTAAAATTCAATAGTTAAAAGTTCATTGACATGTATTTAACTAAAATTAGCAAGAGATTTCTTGATTTTTTGATAAATTAATATGTAAATTATGAAAATATTTCACCGGGTACAATAACGATTAATCTGGACGTGCGATTCTCTTCGTGTATTATTCCATTCCTTCACCCAAAATGAAAATATAATTATATTATTAAGAACGCATTTTTTTAATTTGCCACGATGTTTGGAATCTGTTTACAGGTCTTAAAACTATTGTCGGTGCTGTGATAGAGTCAGTGAAAAATCTACGCGATGTGATAATCCTAACCATGTTCTCCCTCTCCGTCTTTGCACTGATGGGCCTTCAGATTTACATGGGGGTGCTGACGCAAAAGTGTATAAAAAATTTTCCCGAAGACGGTTCGTGGGGCAATCTCACTCATGAGAACTGGGAGAGATTTGTTAGTAACGATAGTGAGTATTCCAATAAATCTTCTCATAAGTAAAAAATATATCCGTACAGTCCCAAAGAAATAGTACCAATAAAAGTTTCGGAAAGAGTACGTGTAACAATAATTGATCTGACCCACAGCAAATTGGTATGGTCAGGACGAAGCGGGAAACTATCCTTTATGCGGGAACTCATCCGGAGCTGGGTAAGTTTTGTTGTTCAGTTAATTGCAAAAATAATTGGTACGTTCTAGAAAAAAAAATGGTCTCACGGGAATAATGAAATTTACAGGCAATGCCCACCTGGCTATACATGTTTGCAAGGTTACGGGGATAATCCGAACTACGGTTATACGAGCTTCGACACATTTGGCTGGGCGTTGCTATCCGCCTTCCGCCTAATGACTCAAGATTACTGGGAAAACTTATACCAACTGGTGCTTAGGTCGGCGGGACCATGGCATATGCTCTTCTTCATTGTCATCATTTTCCTCGGTTCGTTCTATCTTGTAAACTTGATCCTTGCCATTGTCGCTATGTCGTACGATGAATTACAAAAGAAGGCCGAAGAGGAAGAAGCAGCCGAGGAACAGGCGATAAGAGTAAGCTGGATCTACATAATATTTTGACGTGATGCTCGTTACTTTGAAGATCATTTTTCGACAATAAATATGCGATTAAAATTTAAATTACATTTTTTCTGAGACGAAAAAAAAATTGAAGAAATATTTTTTATGTTTCATCGATAATTTTTCATTATTTAATTGATAATTACATGGTCATTTGTTCATTACACAGATGTGACGTACATGTATTTGGTAGAAAATAGAAATTACTTTTATTTCACTTATATTTTAAATCTAACAAAGATAAATTGGTAAGAATATGCCATAAGGTGTAATCGAATATGAATCCTTCGAGATAGAATTCCGAAGCTGGCGTCTAATCGACTCAAATGCACGTTATTTCAGGAGGCAGAAGAGGCGGCTCAAGCAAGAGCGGACAAGTTAGCGAGACAAGAAGAAGCACGGGAGGCGGCGGCTCATGCGGCAGCTACGGCAGCTGATCACATTGTCAAGTCGCCTTCGGATTTCTCTTGTCATAGTTACGAACTATTCGTTGGCCAGGAGAAGGGCAACGATGACAACAACAAGGAACGCATGAGCATCAGATCGGTCGAGTCGATAAGTGAACACAGGGTTAGGATTGCTGGCAACCATGTCACCTCGACTTCCACCAAAGTTCGCAGAGTCAGTGCTGTAAGGATTTCTCTTTTTTTTTTACTTTTCTTGAACCCAAATCATCAGTTCCATCAATACACTCCGTAGAATCATTGTAATTTATGTGTTGCTTTTCCTTTGTGTCTTATATATGCATCAGAGTATCATATGCTTGCCAACGTATTTACTCATTTTGTGCTATTTTCTATAACATCAAACAACTTCATTATATCATAGTTTTCACAATAACTTGTGAATTGAAGAAATAGCTTTAGTATAGTTAGACTAAATTAATCGTTTAGCGTAGATGTTTTACCATGAAAATAAGTTATTTCTGAGTAGAATTAATATTCGAAAGTATACATGCCATTTGAAATTTTAGACATAAATTTTTGATTTTCAAAGATAAAAACAAGTTGTTCCAATGTGGATCTGCAATCTAAGGTGCACTTTTTTTACATAGAGAAATGCTTAGGGACTTTCTTCTTTATTAGCTAGTTTAAGACGCTTCCGTTCTCATTCGTTGAAATGGCAAACAGACCAAGTTCGCCTTTCTTCCAATCGCTTCTTTGTTGCATTCCTCTAAAAAATGAAGCAGAATAATTTGACAATCCTCGGCAAAGCTCGTTAATTAGGTAGAAAGCCGTCGCGTAAAAACAATTACATGGATATAAATTTGCGATTGGAGGGTGCGCGCGCAAACGTAAATCCACGATCACGTAAAGCGGATTAAGGAGAATGAGGCATGGGTCGCGTAATGCCGTTGCACAACAGCGCACTGCTCCTCTCGCAATTACTGCGCCGAACTATTACCCTGCAGGTGTGCACCGATCGATCGCCGTCTATTCTTTTTTTCCCGCTTTACCATACACTATAAGATGCCTCCGCAGCTTCCCACCACTGTGCACTCCAAGCACACTTACGCGCATGCCACTGCTCGCTTACTTGCTCGCTGGTCCAATGTGTTTTACTACCGAGATGGAAGCTCTTTCCAAGTTGATCTCGAAATTTGTATAGCTCACGCACCGCTAGCAAAGATATCTCGTATCGATCGACGCTTTAGAGCTTGTATAGCCATAAAAAGTCTTTCGCTTTATGAAGTATTCAAGAACATTATGGATATCCTCGCATTTTTCATCAATTCATTGGATTTTTTCACGTACAATTCTGCTATTATTCTATCTTCATTAAATTATTCAACCAAAATACCTTCTTTTGGTATAGTTTCACGAATAAAAATGACTTGGGGCTATCGAGTACGTGCAAATCATGTAATAATTTACATTGACGTGGATGCGGAAACCAACGTTATCGTTCAATACGTGTAAAAAAGGACATTCGTTGAGTTATTTATACAAGAAATGCAAACATACTTCAGTTGATTTTAATATTAGACTTCACTGATGCAATTCAAGGTGTATCATCGCAGAGCAAGCATTTAACATAATTAAAAAAGTAAAAAGTAAAATATTTATGTAAATGCTTTATTAAAACGAGATATAGATTGAGTTTTTGAGTGTAATCCGGAGGAAAATTTCAAAATCTGCAATTAAAATAATGGAAACACAAAACTTGAACTATATACTATTTTATTATAGAAAGATATATTTCTGTCCACGTAAGATACAAGTTCTGAAGTTTCAAGATTATCGTTTTTTGAGGTAGAACCGTAAAGAATTTTTTTTATGCGCGATAACTTTAGTAGCCATTCTCTTAAGTTTTTCGTGAAGCCGTACTTTTCTTTACATAATTACAAAGGTAATCTGCGTAAAAATGCATTTTTTATTTTGAAATCAAAAAAAAATTTATTTTCGAGAAGGAAGAGCAAAGAAGGTCGCATTCTACGTGGATTTACAATAACTTTGAGTCGATCGCTGCGAAAATGTATCTTTGCCTTGCATGCCTCACTGCAAACTTGTGTACAATGTATATTCTACATATATACATGCAGTCACTGAGAAAAGGTATTGTAGTAGAGAAAAAATATTGTAATAAAAAGTTCTCACTTTCCTGAAACCTTACTATGTTACTCTATCTCCTTCCGAGTAAAAATGCGTATTTTCTTGTTTTCCTCTCTAACGTATCTTCCTCTTACTTTCTCTCTCTCTCTCTCTCTCTCTCTCTCTCTCTCTCTCTCTCTCTCTCTCTCTCTCTCTCTATCTAAACTTGGAATATGCAATAGGTGTATCGATATCCATATACGTTATACCGTTGCTATCACATATCAGTAATAGAGTTATAAGTATTTTTGTGTAATGCTTGCGCAAATGTGTGCCATTATGTCTCTCAATATGCATATGAACGTTGGTTGTTATTGAAACAACAGCGGAATGATTAAAAAAATTACAAAGTGCAAAGATCTTGAAGAGCGTTTTCTTTTTGTCAATGATCAGATAGTAGGAGATTTCTTTTTCTTGTTTTTTTTTTAAAGGTCGCTCGCGCTGCTAATGGTCAGTTTACTTATGCCTACCAGGATAGCCTAAAAGAGGTACGTGGTTACGACTGTCAGCAACCGTGGTTTGCGTTAACACGGGGCCGTATGTACTTAAAAATAGGATCATCTAACTCCAGATGGTTTACGTTTTTCAATCAGTCGCTTTCAATCTTCACTGCTGGCTGAAATTCTGAGTTCTTAACTTTAATTAATCAACTTTTCGAGCATAATGTTTTTAATTATCTATTTCAATAAATGTACGTGTAGAGTGAAGATTGAAAACGTGATTTCTATTACGATCCAATCAAATCTTCAAAAGTTTGCATCAGGCAATCAATCTTTTATTTATTTTGGACCATTTTCACAACCTTCTGAATTTCAAAAAGTTCATACTACACAGTATGCCGTAACATATTCGATGCGTTAAAAAGGAAAACAGAGATCAAGAAGTATTCATTTCAATATCATAATACGTTTGAACGTAAATACAGAAACATGTGAAAGCATTCCTTAAATTATAACAATTTGTCCATGTACATATGTTCAAAAACGACGTACAAAGCCTTCTCATTCGAAATAATTTATCAACAGTACAAGTTACCATCACATGCAAACAAATTCATTGTGTGATCAATAAAACTGATGTAAATACAATCGTTTTTGTGATCATCAATACGTTTATCCGTAATGTAGATTTTTACATTTTTCTCAATTTCACACTATAAAACGCATAATATTTTATATTCTTTCGTCGCTTGCATATTCATCAAACGAATTTTTATCTCTGTCAGCCGCATCCATCACAAAAAAATAAACGCTTTTCACGCCAAAAATAAAACGAGATTGAGTATCCGACAAATCAGAAAACTCATCCAAGCTAAATATTGGGAAGAAAGAGCCGAAATGACTATATCAAATGAATCAACAGGCAAGCCTGAGTCTACCAGGCTCACCATTCAACCTGCGACGCTCGTCGCGCGGAAGTCATCAATTTACACCGCGCAACGGTCGTGGGAGGTACGTTGGTCAACCAGGCAATGACCGCAAGCCCTTGGTATTGTCATCGTATCTGGACGCACAAGAACATCTGCCGTTTGCCGACGACTCGAACGCCGTTACACCGATGTCAGAAGAGAATGGCGCCATCATTGTGCCCGTTTATTATACAAATTTAGGTTCCCGACACTCGTCTTACACTTCGCACGCCTCGCGTCTTTCCTACACGTCACACGGCGATCTGCTCGGCGGTATACCTACGAAAGAGAGCAAACTCAGGAGTCGATCCACCAGAGTTTCCTCTGCCAATGGGCATCTTGTGGCGGAGAACTTGCAGAAACATTCTTACGTAAGTGTGTTGTCCACCTTGCATGCATTATCTACGATTAATGCGTTTGTGCCATTTGAAAGAACAAGCTTACAATGCTTCATTCATCGTCTGCTTGTAGGATGGCGATTCGGAAGATCCCTACGGCAAGGTAAAACAACAAGATAATCCATTCATTGAAGAACCTACCCAGCAACACGCTGTCGTGGATATGAAAGGTGCGTTTATCGAATGAAGCCAAAGATCGTGTGATTTGACTATGAATACTCGGATTACAAATATTTCATTCCTATTATAGATGTTATGGTGCTTAACGACATTATCGAACAAGCTGCTGGCCGGCAAAGTCGAACATCGGAACACGGAGGTAAATTCAGTCTTTCTCGAGTTGATATCTTGAAATAACGATAAGATTTGCACTTACACAAACACCGACGACTTTTCGTAATTTTTTTACTGTGTTGTATGGAAACTTTTTGGTAAAGCGATATCTAACTTCTTTCTATAAATTTGATCTATGATCATTTATTTACAAATCCGTTCACTCTATTATACTGTAAATTCTATTTCTCTGAATTGTCTGTTCATTCATTTTTAATTCCCAGTCTTGTAAAGTTTTTTTTTAAATTAATAACATCTCTATTGATATTCAATACAATTAAAATAGTTTTAAAATTTGAAAATTTAGTTACTAATGTATTAAATTTTTGTAGAATAAGTCGTTTTTACTAATAATGCAAAAACTATCTCATTAATAATGTATCATCGTTCGTATCATTTGTTTTAATCTTTTTTTTTATCGATTGATTTTGAAAATATATTATTTTATTATATTATTCTTTCGTATGACAATCATTTGATTCTATGTCATGAATACCAATGTTATTTTTCAAGACACCAAAATAACAAGCTCTTGAAAAGTTTCAATACCCGCTGTTAGTGCGTTACCTGTGTGTATTCGTATACGTACGTTTTGTAACGTGGGTGTTTGGTTTTTTGGGGGAAATTGAGTTTTTTCCCTCTGCGATGCTATTTTTCATAATTCTCATCATTTCTATATTCTACATTTCCTCGCATACTATACGACAATTTTCAATCATCATGTGTACATACTCGAACATTACGTTCGTAAATTACTGTCTGTTTTTATTTGCTTAAAATGTCAATTTATTATTTTACACCGCCTGACATCGCTGCACTATCTTTTCTTTTTTTGTTAAATAAACATCTTTCTTCATTATATGTCTTTCAAATTTCATAAATAAAGCCAAAGTCACAATAAATATGTCATTTTCAACCAAATTGCATGTTTTAATTGTTTGAAGTTATAAGAAAAAGTATATTTGAAATAAAAATTGATGCAGTGTAATACAAATGCATGAAATAACATGTTATTAAATAAAAATTTTTTTGCACGTTTTAATGTTTTTCTTATTTCTAAGTTTTGTAGCAAAATGTTTTAATTGCTCTTGTGTATTATTTTGTGATATCAAAAAATGTTATATTTACATGTTTATCTGCATGTCGCTTGAATTTTTATAATTTGATTATTAATATAATTTGATTATTATTATTATTGTTATTATTGTTATTGTTTATTATTATTATTATTATTATTATTATTATTATTAATATTATTATTATTATTATTAATATTATTATTATTATTATTAAACGAAGAATAATTTTTTAGTATACTGATTATATTATTTTGTCATAACTTACTGCCACACTCATTATAACAGAAACCAAACATGAACTTAGTTCATCTTCAATAATGTACATATATTCACTAATGTTATAAATAATCAAAATTTTTAAAACATAAAAGAATTCTTACGTATCAGTTTAATTGCTTACTTCTAACAATAATTTTGATTCTTGAACACTGGTAATTTTTGATAATTAATCTATTTAGTTTAAGAATGGAAAATCTTTCGATTTACACTTGCTTCACCCTTTCTATAACGCAAGCACAAACTTGAAAATTGAGCATCCATCGGTGATGAAAAAAAACTCCTTTCCCCAAAAAGAGTGGTGCATTTCTGAGTTTACTAACGCATACGATACAGTTTCGATTTATTACTTTCCAACAGAAGACGATGAAGATGGTCCCACATTTAAAGAAAAGGCGATAGCAATGTTATTTCGTTGCATCGATATATTTTGCGTGTGGGATTGTTGTTGGGTCTGGATAAAGATTCAAGAATATGTATCTTTATTGGTCTTCGATCCATTCGTCGAGCTCTTCATCACACTCTGTATCGTTGTCAACACACTCTTCATGGCCCTGGATCATCACGACATGGATAAGGAGATGGATAGGGTACTCAAGTCCGGCAACTATGTAAGCTTCAAAAACACTCGACCTTTACACTTGTCCCTTTCTTCCTTTTCTTTCTTTGAAACTCTTTGTTTCTTTTCTACCCACGAATTCGCTGCTCTATTTTTGTCTGTGCCTTCGCCTTTTTGGAGAGCCATTAGCAAAAGCTAGTTCGCAGAGTTTTTATCTAATTTGAGGCAACATCGCCAAGAAAAAGAATTACCCATTCAATATAATATAGTAGAACATTTAAAAGCTTTTCGCGTTATACTTTGCTTTTTCTACACTTAGTTATGTTTAAAGTAAATTAACAAAATTAATTGACATTTCTTTTCAGTTCTTCACAGCAACGTTCGCTATAGAAGCAACAATGAAGCTTATAGCAATAAGTCCCAAATATTACTTTCAAGAAGGCTGGAATATATTCGACTTTTTCATCGTAGCTCTTTCATTGGTTGAGCTTGGACTTGAGGGAGTGCAGGGTCTATCAGTTTTGAGATCATTCCGATTGGTAAGTATACGTTGCGCGTCATAAAAATTATTAAAAAAATTGATCATTTCATTAATGTTCATCATTATTACAGCTCCGAGTGTTCAAACTTGCGAAATCATGGCCAACGCTGAATCTACTTATTTCGATTATGGGTAGAACAGTGGGGGCTTTAGGTAACCTGACCTTCGTCTTATGCATCATTATCTTCATCTTCGCCGTGATGGGCATGCAGCTCTTTGGCAAGAACTACACCGACAAAGTCGAGTTGTTCCCGGGCGGCGAGTTGCCTAGGTGGAACTTCACGGACTTCATGCATTCTTTCATGATAGTGTTTCGAGTGCTTTGCGGAGAGTGGATCGAGTCAATGTGGGACTGTATGCGTGTAGGCGACGTGTCGTGTATTCCATTCTTCTTGGCTACCGTCGTCATCGGTAACCTGGTCGTACGTATTTTTTAACACAATATTTATCGACATTTTTTACCGACGACCGGTAACCGTTATAACTTCAACGGCTGATCGTAGAATTGGTTTGAAGCAAATTCCGTTAAATAACCATCTCGATTAGGTACTCAATCTCTTCTTGGCGTTGCTCTTGAGCAATTTTGGCAGCTCGAACCTGTCAGCTCCAACGGCAGACAACGATACCAACAAAATCACTGAAGCTATAGATCGAATAAATCGTTTCATCGCGTGGATAAAGCGGAACATACTTAATTTTTTCAAGATGTTGAGAGCCAAATTCACCAATCAGATATCCGATCAGGCGCCAGGTGAGGGACCGTCCAACAGTTGGAAAGAAGGTTTATATCCAATCAGATCGCTTGCTGTGTGCGCTGTGTAGTTCGTGATATTGTCTCTGCTTATTTTTTTCGAAACTCCTCTATGATTTTCTGTTATGAATCTGACTTTCGTTTATTTTTTTAATTTTATTTCTCTGATTTCGGTTACGGTGTTGAACGAGGTTCAAACTTGATTGTTTACGCGCTAAAAAGAAATCGGCATTATTCATTGTAAGGGTGTGACTTACTAAATCAACGAATTTCATTGTCGCACAAATTCAACTTTAATTTATATTATTTCTCCATGAATTCTAAAATTCATAATACCAACAATTTCCTTTGATATTTTTTTGTCATTCAAACGTCTTTTCACCTCGTTAAATAACTGTACAGCAAAATATTATTTTACTCAAATTTTAGTTTAATTTCATTTTACATAAATCCTGATAAATTATCTGTTGCACAAACAGAACTTTTTCGATATCGATCTTTTAATCATTTCACTGACATTTATTTGACGAACTAAATTATTCATCAAAGACCGAAAATTAATTATTATAAATATCTACGACAAAAGCCGTTCAATGAAACCTCGTTGAAACGAAAAGATATGAATAATTTAGTTCATTACACATTCATGTAATTAAACTTTTTTTAGATACATGTGAATCGACGTGATATGAAGCACATCGAGTAAAGTATTATAGAAGCTTTTTTATTGGTAACTATAGAAATATTTAAACGTAACTTAAATATTAATATGAGTATACATACAATATTTTAAACAATATTTTAAACTTTGAATAAAATAATTTCTTCTCGTTTTACTTGTCAAGAACTTTTGAAAATTTTCATGTATCAAGAACTGTTACAGAATTTCAAAATTATATCTAAAAAGTCTATACCATATGTTCTAATATAGATGATCAACTATTATTTATTTTTATAAAGCACTATTATTTTAACGTAAGCGTTTATCTCGATAATAGTCCTGCAAAAATCGATTTTTGGTTGTTATAACTTTTGTTGCTACTGTCGATGTTGCTCACAACTCGCTCTTGTTTCATTTTCGTCGTCCCTCCCCCCAGAATGCTTAGGCCATCGAGTGATCAATCGGAAGTGTATGAACATTTTCACTTATTATGAGTGCATCTAATTTACGATACATATGCATTATATGTATATAATAACTTATACAAGTGTATATCGCATGGACTTTCAAGCATGTTTATATTTCTTATTTTTTCGTTCATTTTTATCATTTTTTTCGTGTGCGTCATGATGTATAATCCTTTTTTCCGTCATTTTTAGTTGTTTGATACGCATTTGAAATAGCATTTAAATACAGTTTGCTGATTACTCTGAGATTTGAAAATACTTAATACACTCTGGTAGTTTAAAAATTTATTTCTGGCCAACGTTTATATTATTTCATATTTATTTTAGTAATTTTTTATACTTTTAGATCTGGGTTGTAGTTTATAGATTTGTCGCATTTAAAATAAAAAAAAAGTGTAATATTAGTATATTTTTAATGTAAATCTTACAAATTGATATATTGTTATGGCTGTAACAATTGTTAATGACCAGATGAATGGATAAATTTATGATTGTATAGAAGTAACAAATTCAATTTTATTAATATTACACATCCTGGAGTCGCAAAAAATCATGCATGTTAGAGTACAAAGTACTTTATGGGTCTTAATTTATTCCAAATTTAAATATATGTTCACTAACATATATGTTTAATGTGATTTCATCTTACGATGAAAAATTACTTTTAAACTTAACCTTTTAAGAAAAGAATATGAATGGAGCAATGAAATGATTGAAAACAAATGAATAAATGTATTTTAAAAGAAATTTTTTTCAACAGAATACAAAATTTATATTCCGTTTACTAAGACGTGATCTAACAAATATACCGAAGAGACTTTGTATGCATGTTTAGAGTAGAAAACTTTTGCACTCCATAAACTTCTTATTTACTCTTTCTTTCTATACTTTTTCGATACTGAAGCGTGATTGCAAAAGTGCTTGACGCTTCAGAAACTTCCATTGCGAGAATGTGAAAGGGAAGCATTATAAAAATACGCACCTTCTTTCAAATACCTTGTTCAAAATAAGGTGGTAATCTATCAATCAGATGTTGGAGAAGTAAAAAATTGTAGTCAGTACGGAAAAATTCCACTATTTTATTATTAGCCTCGATAGTAATATTAGTTTTTTGTCCATGTGACATTATAGATGGAATCGACCGAGACCTGAATATGGATTTGGCTGAGGGTGAGTTGGACGCGTATCGAGATAAAAAGTGCGTCAAGGAACTTAACAACCAATTCGAAGTTGCGATCGGTGATGGTATGGAGTTCACTATTCACGGTAAGTCTGCTGAAATTACCGCGATTCTGGATATTAACAGAGGTAAATTCTTCGTAAAAGAGATACTTTTAAATAGCATATGTTACTAATTGTAATAGACCTTGAAATAAATAATGGCAAAGGACTATAAAAAAAATGGAAATAAACTTAAGAGAAAAAAAAATTAATCCATGCGTACACTTTCAGAATTTGCTCGGTCCGCTTTTGATATTCTAACAATATTTTTTCGTTGTTCAAGGAGATCTGAAGAGCAAAATGCGGGAAAGTTTATGTTTAAATAACACAAAGGCTTTGGTGAATTCGATAAAACATGGAGCCTATAGATTGGAAGATTATCTTAGTCACAACGAAGATGACACGATAAGGTTAGTTTAACAAGTACAACAAAATGATTTTTGCAAAATTTGAGATGTAGTTATTCTCACTAAACATATTTTCTACAGTAATAAGTCTTACGGCAGCCACAAAAATCGTTCATTCAAGGACGAAAGTCACAAGGGTAGCATAGACTCGCTTGACGGTGAGGAAAAGAAGGACGCCAGTAAAGAGGATCTTGAAGACGGTAAGTTTATATTTATCTAAATTTCAGAAAAATTAGAAGCTGAGACTTATTTTCTTGAGAGAAATACCGAATACGTAAAAATTGATGTTGCAGAGCTTGATGACGGCGAGGATGAGGAGGAAGAAGACGACGACGAAGAAGAAGAAGGAGACGACGGATTGACTCGACCAGATATAATTAAAGCAGATGAGGAATTGGACGATTATCCATCTGATTGTTTCCCAGATGATTGTTACAAACGGTTCCCTTTCCTCGCGGGCGATGATGATGCGCCTTTCTGGCAGGGTTGGGCCACACTCAGGCTCAAGACTTTCCGACTCATAGAGAACAAGTATTTCGAGACTGCTGTCATCATAATGATCTTAGCAAGCAGTTTGGCTCTTGTGAGGACATAATTTTTCCGACATTTTCACTTATTCTCGCACAATATATTTCATGAAACAATCATTTTCAGGCATTGGAGGACGTTCATCTCCAACAAAGGCCAATTCTTCAAGATGTACTGTACTATATGGATCGAATTTTCACCGTAATATTCTTCTTTGAGATGTTAATCAAGTTTTTGGCGTTAGGATTCAAAAAATACTTCACAAATGCTTGGTGTTGGCTTGATTTCATAATCGTAATGGTAAGTTCGACTTTATCCTATCGAGATAATCAATATATTTATATTCTCATATGACCTGAAGATAATTGTAAAATTAATTTTATGTCATCTTGAAATTACCTACGAGTACAATGACGAGATTTTATAACGCATCGGATAATAGACTTTCATCGTTAATGCTTTCATATATTCAATGTATAATTGACTAGAAAAAATGTTTTATCGTAAGCTAGCTTTGGCTTGTATTCAAGTGAGCTAAAAATCTCTTCGTGGTACATTACGGTATTATTATAAGCAAAATAAACAACCAAATGAAAGATTAGACTTTCGAAGTGATTGAGAAAAACAGCGCTAGTTTGAAACTCTTACCAGTATTCTAAATCTTCTATGAAGGAGAATGAAGGTAACACGATGTCGTTGTTATTTAGATGATTACTGTCACGACCATGCAACAGATAAGCTTCGTTTACATGAAACATGTACAATTGAGTTATACCGTTTGAAAATATCCACGTTAGACACCAATTGTAAGCTTGTCTATTGAATGGTCGTGGTTCCAATGGTCAAATAAACAAGCTATACGTTCCTGACAACACAGTGTTCATTTGTCATTGACGTGCATCGCTGTAACGAGTGAAAAAACAATAACGAAATCTTGAAATCATTAGAACTTCATAATCACGCATCCAATTGACAAATCTTAGTTGTCGCTGATCAACTTGGCTGCTATATGGGCCGGCGTTGCTGACATTCCGGCCTTCCGTTCAATGCGTACTCTTCGTGCTCTGAGACCTTTGAGAGGAGTTTCGCGCTGGGAGGGTATGAAAGTAAGTCCATTAGTCAGGCTCGCCAAAATTGGGACTATTTTTTTGTTTGTTGTTTTTTATGTACAAATAAGAGACTACTTGGACTGTGTGCGCGTGCTATACACTATATTTATTCGTCTACTCTTCGTTTCTATCTTTCACTTCTCTCTATTCCTCAATGAATAGTATCGCCTTGGATTTACAACTCTTCAGTGACAAAATACTATACTGGAGTCTGACATGGATCTGAAACGAAATATACAAACTATTGACGTCGTACTTACTTTTACTCTTACATATGACAGATTTGTTTTTTTTACTCAATTAAACATTTTCATTGAGGCTTAAAGTTGTTGAAGACTATGAGTGATTAATCAAATGCTAATGTGAAGCTTCAGCTTTCTATATATGAAAGTATATGCTAATATAATAAAAGATTGCTGATGCTTTGAGATCGTTGTGAAAAAATTGAGTTGTGCTTACGTATGCAAATGGTACACCTTAAATCTGAAATTTTATGTCATTACTGGCAGACATATATCTCATGTATATATTAATGAATCAGTTATTTCTGTTGTATTAGCTATTGCTCTTTGTTATACGTTGTGCTTTCAATATTACATAAATCTACATTTATGTGAATATATAAATAAATTGCCATTCATGTGGCAGTACGACGTATAAGCGTGAATATATAAATCTTATAAACGATACATGACATATAATGCGTACATTTGCATTCGCCTTTTGGACGATATACGGTAAAGGTAATTGTGCTAAAAGTAAAAGTATGCTTTGACTGTAACTTATGATATTTCTTCAATCTTTTTTTTTTGTCTAAACGCAACATATTTCAAGATCGAATGTAGTGTTTCCTGTCTTCGTGTAAATTGTTGTGTATAAAGTGTAACTGTTATGTACGAAGTTCTTATTTTCCATTTCTAAACCACTGACGTAAAAAAGTATATCTGGAAAATTAGGACTTGTATAAATTTTTAATCTGTTGCAGGAGTAGCTGATTCTTAAAAATATATTTCGTTGACTTTTATAACAGTGTGTCTCAACTATAATCCTGTATTCCTTATCTATCGTCACTTCTGGTTGTTTTCTGCTGTATATTGTTTGAACTATTGCTACTTAAACATTTGATCATTCATTAGATCATTATCAACGCATTTTCCATCATTTATTCTTATACACGAAAAATCTCATTAAAAATTATTACATATATCATTGGTGAAACATTGAAGGTACAATTATTTGAATAAATATATGACAGAATTACACATCCCCATAAAAAAATTCTCAACTGCGATTGCTGCTTCACGCCGTCGACGTTTTATCTACTTTTCAGCGTTTACGCACATAAGATTTTGAATAGCGAGTGAACAAAAGCGTCATTCGAATGAAATAAAATAAATCCCAAAGTGCGATGAAAACAAAAAGCAAAGATTTTTGCAGTGCGACGTTTGAAAATTAAAATAAAAATGAGCCGAGGAGAAAAAAATTGAAAATGTTTTGTTTCTACTGAGCCTATGATCCGTTATTCAATTTTGTCGCTCGCAGGTATCTCTGATAAACTTCATAGCGTCGCTCTGTGGCGCGGGCGGAATCCAAGCCTTCAAAACAATGCGGACTCTAAGGGCCCTAAGGCCGCTCAGGGCAATGTCTAGAATGCAGGGAATGCGGGTATGTAGCCCTACGTCTCAGTCGACCTTTTCGCCACCAATTTGCCATTTACTACTTTATCAAATTATAGTTATGTGAATGGCTCCAGAACACCTTCTTTTATATTCAATGGTTTAATCAGCAAAAATTTCATTTGCATATAGGCTTATACATGTAAAGATTATCATTGAGTCACATTTGAAAGACTTACTGGTAACATTACGTTTTTTCTACACAATGTAGATCCACACTATGATACATTGGAAGATGAGAATAATAAGAATATACATATGCGCCGATTGTATTTTGTATAACTAAACTTACGGTAATCTCATCTTCTTTAATACTTACAATAAATACATACATATATATGTATATATATACATGTATACATATATATATAAACAATAATGAACATTTTTTTTCTTTTGGAACATCACATGGATAGCTCTGGTGAAATACTTGACGGATATGGCAAATTAAAAACAATGTACTTTAAAAAAACTAAATTTCACCAGAGATTCTGAGCAACGCTGTAAAATATATTGTTTCAATGAGTATGTTGTTACTAGAACAATCAAATTCACTAAAAGAACACTGCATCGAAACTGCCGTAATAATATTTAGAGAATTTTTTTTGTAGTAGTTAAACGTCACGTTAGATACCCACAATGCTTATATTCGAAAGATACCTTTTTATCACTTTCAGCTCTTACCCAATGAATAAAATTCTAAATCATGACAAACTAGAAATAACGTCGACAGTATCCCGATAACTGTTCAAAAATTTTTAAGCCGTCGATAAAAATATACCTAAAATCTTTTAAGGACAATATTGGCATTCAACGTTTTATATATACATAAAAAATATTGTCATGATTTGAACACTTCTCACCAAATAATACCAATTATGAATCCTTATCCATATGCAGATATTACCTAGCCTTCTGCACGTTATATTCGAATTGTTCCAAATCAAATGCATTCGAGCGGCAATTGGATAATGCACCGCTTATACCGCAAGTAGAAAACATTTCGAAACTTGATAACGCAAAAAAGGTAAAAGAATGAAACTGAAAATACTAGAAAATCAAATGATCAATAGTAATATTTGATTGACTGGCTTTCTCCTAGTATTTTTCACGACAAAATCCTACTTTATATAGAAAAATAAGCTTTAGATCAAGGTCACTGAGACAATGGGTTTAAAAAATTCGTAGTCGAGTTCATAAAAGCCCTTACACATGTCTTCATATCATTATCTTTATATTCATATTTTATCTTATATGCTTGCTGTTGAATGTGGATTTTTTGCAATATACTTCTAATAGCTATCAGACTATTTTTATTTTCTCATTGACGAATTCATCATTAACCGAACGAATTTGGCATAAAAAAAAAAGAATCATTGTTGTTTATTCGGTAACTGATGAATTCACATCCTTTTTTTTTAGTGACGGCTAAGATAACGCAATTTATTAAAAATAAATATAACTTGAATGCATGCGCTTGTAATTGTGTGTATAGATTTCTTGTATTTCAAAGCTATTTACTCTTCTAGCAACAATGAGGGATCATCAATATACGAAACAACTTTTTTGATAAACTGTGCTTTCTGCACCGAAGAATTTATGTTAACTAAGAAACTGAAGCAATATAGTCGCTAAAATTACTTATATAAAATTTGATATATTTCGATTATTCCGTTGTCGCTAAACTAGGCTTTAACCTTTGTTCAGAAAATTCATATTTGATGATTTATATGTTGGAGGAGTATTGAATATTGGTTACAAATTTACTCACGGAAATCAAAGAGAAATAAATATAAATATTGTACTTATTGATGACGCTTATATTCTTAATTTTGTCCATTCAGGTCGTCGTCAACGCGCTGGTCCAAGCTATTCCATCCATCTTCAATGTGCTGCTAGTGTGCCTCATATTCTGGCTAATTTTTGCAATTATGGGTGTCCAGTTATTCGCTGGAAAATATTTCAAAGTAAGCATTATTATTTAAAATGATAAAAAAAGATAAAGTAAATGTAGAATCATTTTCATAATCATGTTTTTGTATTTCATAGTGCGTCGACGCAAATAAAACTACGCTTAGCTACGAAATTATTCCCGATCGCAACGCTTGCATCGCTGAAAATTACACGTGGGAAAATTCACCGATGAATTTCGATCACGTGGGCAAAGCTTACTTGTGTCTGTTTCAAGTGGCTACTTTCAAAGGCTGGATTCAAATTATGAATGATGCCATTGACTCGAGAGAAGTATGTTAATCTTTTCGAAATCAAAAACCTTCGATACTTTTAAAACGTTACGCAGATAGAAAAGTAAAGTTACCTTATATTTTAGGTTGGGAAGCAACCCATACGCGAAACGAACATTTACATGTACCTCTATTTTGTATTTTTCATCATCTTCGGATCGTTTTTTACTCTTAATCTGTTCATCGGTGTTATCATTGACAACTTCAACGAGCAAAAGAAAAAGGCCGGTGGCTCTCTCGAGATGTTCATGACGGAGGACCAGAAAAAATACTACAATGCCATGAAAAAAATGGGCAGTAAAAAGCCATTGAAGGCCATTCCACGTCCAAGGGTAAAGTTTCTTTTTTCTATCCTATCCCAACGGTTTTCAGCACCACCAACTTTAGCTAAATTCTGGCAATTCTACATATACATGCACACATCTTTCTATAACACATATATCTTTCTAGCAGTATTTTTATTTTTTTATGTAATCTCTTTCAACCACCCTTTTTATTACTCTGATAATTTTCTTTGTGTAACAATTCGTTTTTTATGGTAATCCTAAAAGAAATCCATTGAGCATTACATTGATCTACACCAGATGACAAATTTTGTACTGGACACAATTTTTTTGCTTCAGGCTTGTTGAAGGTTATTACTATATTAACAATAAGGAGTTCTTACATGTATTTATGTTTGCAAATTCTATTCGAATTTAACTAAAAGTTTCCCCCATAGAAATATTTTTTTTCAATTTTCATGTTACTTAGAATAGTAATAATCTTAAATTATTTAATGTCTCACTTTACAATTTACTATCCTAATATAGTTTTCAATTCAAGTTTGGCCATCTTCAATTTAAATTTCATTTCACAAAAGCTTGTCTTTAGTTACTAGTTAATCACTAGTTGTTCAAAAGTAAATCACCTTCAAGTTAACTATAAATGATTCATTTAATTTTTACGTGTTTTTAAACTTTTTTCCACGATTAAATATATTTAATGTACAATCGTTGAAAAGTGTAAATTATTATATATTCACTAGTTGGACATTGATAATTATTTTTAGTGTGGTGCAAAAAAATTGTGTTTTATTCGTACAATAAAAAAAACGAAAATAACAAATCATCAGTGTATATGATCAAAAAAATGACATTAACACGACATTTAAATATGAAGCCAATTAGTCGATGCTAGATTTTTAAAATATAGAATAGATAAACAGTAGAGTTTAGAAAACTTGATTAACAGTAACAATAATAATAATCTAATTTTCTACTTTTTGCGTAAATAAATGTGTATTTGAGGAGTGAGCGGAAAAAATTAAGAAAATTATAAATCAACGGAATAACCTTTGAAACCCCTCGACGCCTGAGCAATTAAATATGTACTAAGGCAAATGGATCAGAATTTTGGACTGCAAAACTATAGATACAAATTTATTGTCAAGTGACAGGTTCTAGTATAAAATATGTTTTAGTGATGCAAAAAAAGTAACGTTTGCCACTGTGACAAACTTTTTTTAGGTAGCAAACTGAATTTATTTTTTAATTAAACGCCTAATCAATAGGCGAATAAGATTTGTTCAAAAAGCAGATGTAATTCTCGATTGTTATATTTGTTTAAAGATAATTTTTTTATGCATGAAGCTATTATACTTTATTTCCAATTTCCTAACTTGGAAAAGAATTATCTGACCTGGGCAATTATATCTATTAATTTGTTTACGTTGCACAGTTAAATTTAAGTTGAAAAGTTCACTGATAACTTTCTGTAGTGCATGGGAATTTAATTTTTTATTAGCACTGTCTCTGAATCATGCTGTCATTCATCACTTTCATCGTTATAATTACTGATATTATAAATCTAAAAGATATATTTGGAATATTTTTATAATGTTAAGAAAAATCGTAAGTATTGATTGTAGAACAAAAGTTTTGAAAATATGATAACACTCGACCTTATAGTAAAAATTGAAAGTGTTCAAGAAGTACCAAATTAAAAAAAAAGAGTTTGAATTACTTCTTGTTCTGCTTCACCATAAAGATAGTGCCATTTCTTGTCATAATTCACGAACACGACAAGATTCGAAAAATAGAATAGTTTATCAAATGTGATGGCAATGTAAGTCCCCTTAGTTTAGAAAATATTCCGTTAGTTAGCTGTAAAAAACTTCCTCGCCCTTAGAAATGAAGGGATCGGCGTCCAAACTAATCTATGTTCTGTAAAATGTTTGCAGTGGAGGCCGCAGGCAATCGTGTTCGAGATAGTGTCGGACAAGAAGTTCGATATGATAATTATGCTGTTCATCGGGCTGAACATGCTCACGATGACACTCGATCATTACCAGCAGAGTGCAACATTCAGCAACGTCCTCGACTATCTGAATATGATATTCATTGTGATATTCACCAGCGAGTGTCTCATGAAGATCTTCGCGCTGCGCTACCACTACTTCAAGGAGCCCTGGAACCTGTTTGATTTTGTTGTCGTTATATTATCAATATTAGGTAATGTAACGTAATGATTACTTCAGTTGCAAACAACTCCACTGAATGGTTACACGTTTCTATTGACGACAATACCTGTTTGCCTCTCTATGACAATGTTATTAATTTCAGTACACGCATTTCTTCCATATCATTCTACTGCAGTATATTGGCCAACAGATTTTTTTCATTCTCTTTATTATATGCACAAGTAATAACTGCACGTATATATCATCGACAGTTTGCACGTTGAGCTAGCTCTTTTTTCCTTTTTTCCTTATTACATTATCGAATAGATATATATGATAAACGAGGGCAAGCAGGCAAAAACTTCAGTGGAGTTTCAGCAACTGTTGGTTATCATTACGTTATGTAGCCTTACATTGATGTTCTGAAATTGATGTGAGCCCCCAATCCCCCATGTTAGACTCCGTTGAGAAAAAAACCTAACCTGTTAGTTGAGGACTGTGGAAACGAACCCTCGATGCTGTCGTTGAGTACAGTCGACAGTCTCTGAAAGCCAGAAACCCCCATCACGTAAAAATGGGATTCGTTCAAGTGCTATTGTAACAAGAACCACTTTCTGCGTGGTATTAAGTTTTCAAGTTTTTTTTATGAATTATTCAAATCCAAATTTTATTTATTAATATTATTATTACAGTTTGATTAATCTTAGATTTTTTAGTTTTTATATTTGTATATTTACTTTTTTACTATAATTACTAAATAATTTATGCAATTACTTTTGTTTTTATTTGTATACTTATCATTTGGTTCTTGTTCAACGTATTTGTTCGAACTAGCTCGAAGAGTTATATATACCCTTAAATATCAGTAAATAGGATATAAATTAAGTAAGTCAAAAACGTAAGTTGCATCATCACCTCCATTAGGAGTAGATGTAATTAAAATTGGTTAAAATCTCATATTTATTATATTCGAAAGTAACATTTTTTTACTCTAGTTAGATTTTTAGATTAAGTAGTTTGCTCTCCCAGATCAGATTACACAGTTTGAAATTTCGTAATTGTATACACAACCTTTATCAACTGCTTCTAATATCAATTTATTACAGTTTATTTATTAATTTACATTTTACTAAATCATGATATGTGAATGAATCACAATTGAATATTTTGTGACTTTGAGGTACACACATTGTTATCGATCAACTTTTTTGATGCACGTTTGTTTATGAACGGAAAATATTTTCTTCTTACCTTTTATTCATAAATTTTTTATTAACAAAAGAATTTGCTTATAAAATGCGACTGTACTACGGGGATACAAAACACTATTTTCCACAAAAAAATTAAATAGAAAATCATCCTTAGAATAGATTAGGTAAATTATAGAGCACTTATTAATTCCTATTACAGTGCATTGTAAGGACTACATAATGCATGACAATACGAGTAGAACTTGAAATTCCCAATTTGATAACTTAAATGAAAATGGCTGAGCAATTTTTTCGAAAGTGATGACAAAATGTTACCAAATTATTATACAATATTCGTTGGTAAAAAATATAATGAGAACTAGCAGATGATTTGCTTCGAAAAAATGTGTTCGCCAAAATGAAAAGCACGTTCAGTTAAAAGCTTTGAACGCTTTACATACTTCGTTTATATATTTGATTAATGAAATATGCTTTAATACTTATGAAAAATCATTCTTCTATAAAGTCCATTATCGTGTTCTAATGTAGTAACTCCTTTTTAAGTATGTACAGAGTTCAAAGTCTTGAAAGTTCAGTCTCCAATGTATGCTCTTAGTCCCCTTTACGAATAATCTAGGAACATGTAATTTGATGTGTTGATTGTCTTGAAGGAAACAACAAGTAACCATGATCTTTCCTTGTTTGTCGGTGACATGTAGGTTTGGTATTGAGCGACATTATCGAAAAGTACTTTGTGTCGCCGACACTTCTCAGGGTAGTGAGAGTGGCGAAAGTCGGTCGTGTCCTGCGTCTTGTGAAAGGTGCCAAGGGTATAAGAACTCTATTGTTCGCGTTGGCGATGTCCTTACCTGCCCTCTTCAACATCTGTCTGCTGCTCTTCTTAGTCATGTTCATCTTCGCAATATTCGGCATGTCCTTCTTCATGCACGTTAAGGACAAAAGTGGTCTTGATGACGTTTATAATTTCAAGACCTTTGGTCAGTCGATGATATTGCTTTTTCAAGTAAGTAAATTTTCGTAAGCACCACCGCTTCTAGATTAGGAGGTGTTCCATAATTTGAATGAGTTGTGTGACTACATAGTGTATTTTTGACGATGTATTTGGATGCTATAATGAATATATCGCATTCATAGTGAATAATGAATGCAATAAAACTACAAATGAAAATAAGGTAGCAAGTATCTATCGTGCTCATATCGTTCACTTCTTCAGACTAGCAATTCATTTTCATAATACAATAGGATATTACGTAATATCTAGACTATACATAGTGTACTATTTTTCTCTTCTTATAATTTATATTTTACATATCAAGTGCGCCTTTTCTTCTTATCCTCCAAGCACGACCAATCGTCAATTACAGCATGAATATATCCAAAAATCGCACGATCTATCAGATGATTTTGTTTTTATGATTTTGCACCTATCGCAATATATTCTCTCTCCGTTATACAATTAATTCAATAATTAGAACATTTCAAATTATCTCTTAGGCATTTTTAATCCAAAGTAGCGTCATAATCATTTAGATAGCACTATATACGGCGGGTACTTGTGAAATTTCAAACCGGTCTTGTCAACATTCTCAGGAGCTGAATTGTCTTTTCATAATGCATCTTGGCATACCCAAAAACAAAAAACGAAATTAAACTTGCCTAAGCAGTTCGACAATTCAATTGGTTTTTGAGTAATTTTTTGTTTTTAATCCTCGTTAATTCAAATTGCAAAATTGAAAATGAGTCTTCTGACTAAACACGGTATGTTTAGATGTTTCAATCGAGTAAGATGTAATTTTCGAAACACAAAAACCTCCCCAAAAGCAAAATTTTTCGGTATTTTTTGAAGATATCCAGGCGTGGGTCAGAGAAAATATTTAATTAGATAAAATTTGTAAGTCGAGCGCGTGGAAAGATGGATTATGAGAAAGACGCTCAGCCCTCGAGGACGTTGCAAAGTTGAGGTTGAAATGTGAGCAGTACCATGCCTTAAAAAATAAGGAATCACTGGAAGTTGGTCCAATGACGTATAAAAGAAGGCATTTGCACGAGAAAGTATAGCAGAGAACGAGGAAGATAATGGAACGGCAGTGTTTAACGGATAAATGAAATGTTATAGATGTCGACGTCGGCTGGCTGGGACGGCGTTCTCGACGGCATTATAAACGAAGAGGACTGCCAGGAGCCGAATAACGAGATCGGCTACCCGGGTAACTGCGGCTCCTCGACCATCGGCATAGCCTACTTACTCTCCTATCTCGTTATCAGTTTCCTGATCGTCATCAATATGTACATCGCTGTCATTCTCGAGAATTACTCGCAAGCCACTGAGGACGTCCAAGAAGGTCTCACCGACGACGACTACGACATGTATTACGAAATCTGGCAACAATTCGATCCCGACGGCACGCAGTACATCAGATACGACCAGCTCTCGGACTTCCTCGATGTCCTCGAGCCGCCGCTGCAAATTCACAAGCCCAACAAGTACAAGATTGTGTCGATGGATATTCCCATATGTAAGGGGGACCTTATGTTTTGCGTGGACATCCTCGACGCTCTCACCAAGGACTTTTTCGCGCGCAAGGGCAACGCGATCGAGGAGACCGGCGAGCTCGCCGAAGTGCAAGCGCGCCCCGGCGAAGTGGGCTACGAGCCGGTCTCCTCGACCCTCTGGCGGCAGCGCGAGGAGTACTGCGCCAGGCTCATTCAGAACGCCTGGCGCAAGCACAAGCAACAGCGCACGGGCGAGAGCGACCTCGACGGCGCCACCGACCACGAGCAGAGTCGCGACACGGACGGCGACGCGGGCGACGCGGGCGACGCGGGCCCCGCCGACGAGCCGCCGTCCGGCCAGCCGCAGTCGCCGCAGCAGCAACAGTCGCCGCAGTCGCCGCAGTCGCCACCGGAGGCCGACGGCCACGTGCTGCAGACGGCCGTGCTTGTCGAGAGCGACGGCTTCAGCACCAAGAACGGCCACCGCGTGGTCATACACAGCCGCTCGCCGAGCGTCACCTCGCGCACCGCGGACGTCTGATGAACGGACGCGGCGGCGACGACGGACGCCGACCGCATCCTCGTGCTGCCCGCGCTCGCGGCGGCCGAGGACCGAGCCTGAGCTCGGCTGCGCGCCAGTGCCGTGGGAGACTGAGGGGAATCGGGTTTTAGGCCGCGCCGCTCGCTGCCAATCTGAGAAAGAGAGAGAGAGAGAGAGAGAGAGAGACACGCGCGCGCAGCGGCTTCGTGGTTCGGCTGCGGCTGCTCGAGGCTCTTCTGCTCGCAAAAGTATACCGAAGACTGCTTTAGGTTCCCGCGGGCGACGGCTGGGCCACGGCGAGCCAGCGACCACGCCAATGTGTACGCGCGCGCCTGAGACAGCTCGACTTTTACCGAACGGACGGGGATGCGAGGATCAACTTTTAGACTGCGTCGTTCTTTCGCGAATGACATATTAGGATTCCTAGATTCGAGAGATCTGTAGTGCGATCCTAGAATGAAGTACGCGCATGTACCAATTTAAACTATGGGAATTAACGAATTGCCACAATTGTCCGAAGCTTCTTTCGTTTCAAGGGAGCTCGTTTGCCCTATTCCGCATCTTCGGCTTTCTAACATTTATTTCGAAGATTTCTCTCGACCGAGGCCGACGCTTCGTTTACACAGCTAGCTTTCAAAGTACCAGGAGTTACAAATGTCGCTTGGCCGCTAAATGATTGCCCATCGTTTTAAAACGTAGAATAAATATATAAGCAATCCTCGATAATCGTCAGGGGACCCGCGGAACAAATAAAGACTATAGAAAAAGAAAGGAACAACCAATTTATCCTACCTTTGAATTATGAATACGTGATTTTCATTGTCTTTGAATTACAGCGCAAAACATTTTTTACATACGCTACGATAACGAGTGCACGAATCGCTCCGAAGTTTTTCATTTCCGAAGACGAAATTACCGATAGAGAAACGATAATCAACCTTGAATAAAGTTATTCCGTATACAGGCGTCGTCGATAGTTAAGCTAACGTTTTCGCCGTTTTCAATTTAACACCCACACACAGACACGCGTCTTCTACTGCGAACTTGACCACTCGAGCTTTTCATTTGCAAGAACGGTGCAGATTCACAACAATACATGGACGATTTAAACGAACATTATTGTATAATAAGTCGATGCAGCCTTATAATTAATTATACAATTTAAGAAAAAAAAATTCCTCCAACAAGTTGCCTTCGTACTTAATATTTAACAATATGAAAGGGAAATGTCAGGAAACACAAAGAAGATAAGCCGAACAGTTGATGTGTTGTGCGCCAAAAGACATATAATTCGCTTGGAACTTGAAGGGGAGAGACGCGTAGAAGCGATTGGAGTTAAATATACAAATGATCCAACGAAAATTGTCAACGCAATTACGATCGTTCATTAAAAATCGTATGGCTTTCATTGAAACCAAATAGAGAAGCGACAAAAGAAATCGCAAAAGCAATCTCGTTATAATCTCGCCGCACAAAGAAGCCTTGTCGCACGAGCGCGCATAAAGCATCTCTCTTTCTTTCTCGCGGATCGCAATAAAAAGAAAATAATAATAAAGGTGTGTTCTTTCGCTTCGCGAGCGCTTCATCCGACGGCAAATACGAAGCATTACTATTCCGCAGTGTGTGGAACCAAACGGATTTCTTTCCTACTTTCTTTCTTTCATTTTATATGATAAATCGAAATGTTTTTACGGACACGTTTCACTTATTACAATTCTCCCGCTTCCAAGGCACAGCTGCAGCATCGCCGCGAAAACGGCCGTTATTCGCCGTTGTGCGAGAATAATCGTCGTCGTCGTCGTCACCGTCGTTTCGTCCTTCCGACCGAAACGGTGCGCGTTTATCTTCGAAAGCGTACTCTTCACATGTAAACGCGTATACACAGAGACACTTGTACACACACGCGCGCGCGGAAAACAAATGTTTATCAAGTGGGACATTGAGTGGAAAGAAGCAAGTCACGTATTGTATAGTCGGACAACCATAGAAATGGAAAAGGGAGTGAGAATCGCGCGACGTCTGTGTAGATTCCGATCACTTCCTCTAAAGATCGGCAATCCAACAGGTCGATCTCGGTTTTCTCTTCTTTTTTCATTCTGCACACGGATACACTTCACACTTTTTCGTCCTGGCGTTTTTACGGGGAGTATATACATAATATATATAATTCAGGCTGATATTTGGGGCTTGACCGACGACCTCGAAAGTGCGAATCTTCGTTGAATAAAGTCGTCGTCAATGGAAGATACAACTCAACGAACAAATAATGGTGCAAACAAATTTTCAAAAGATTAATGGTGTGTTGGAGCTATAGATATTATATATAATATACGGCGGAATGGAAGCAAATGGATAATATTGTAAGCCACTCACCACTCAGAAGATGTAAGATTTAAAAAATAAATCAAGCCACCGCGTATCACCTTCGAGTCATTTTTCACCACGAGAATTTCTGTACATATTATATAAAGGGATATTAAGAATAATGAATAATAAAGAAATGAATTCGATTTGCATCTTCGCTGCTTATGGATCGCACACGTACATTTGTACAATCTAATAAACGTACTTTTTACTCGGAAAAAAAATAATGATGATTATAAAGGAGTAAATGAACAAAAAAAAATACATGAATAAAATAAATAATAATAAATATATTATTATAAATAATGAAGAAAAAATACGACTCGCGCTCGCTGCGTAATGATAATTGTTTTTCGCGATATATATATAGTACGTGCGAACGCTCACGTACATATATTATACACACACATTAAAACACTAAAAAGGAAACAAGAATGAGATTCGAGCTTCATTGTAATTTCACTCGTCTCGTAAATGGGATTATTGTAATTATGTAAGCGGCGCAATGGCGTATACATACACGTATACATAAAATGTAGATTCGCAACAACAAAAAATTATTCGTGTATACGCGAAAAAAACGCGTGCAAGTGAATATGTTATAACACTGAAGATTGTACACACTGAAGATTGTTCAGCAACAAAAAAGACATTCAAATGGTGTGAGTACGTGTGCTTTTACGTGTGATGTAAGCGTACGAATGAATACGAAAAAGAGAAAGAGAGAGAGAGAGAGAGAGAGAGAGTGAGAGCGAGAGCGAGAGAGTGTGTGTGAGGTGCGCAAGAGAGACAAATATCGAGAGTTATTTGCACTTTGGAGTTTTGCAGCGAGCTAAGTGCTTTATTTTGTTATTATTGATACAAATTCACAGCAAATAAGCTTTACACTTAACGCGTTTAAAAGAACAAAAAAAAATGATAAAAATAAATAAATAACAAATAAATATGTGCGGGTAGAGAATTGTGAGGTGTAAAATTCGTTGCGACATGATGTACTGCGTTCTAAGGGAGTGCGAGCTATCGCGATAAGTGTACCTTTTACATAAAGAGACGTTCGAACGTTCGCGACTTACGGACCATTATATCAGCTGTCCGTTCGTTTCTTTGCCGACGAGTTTATGCACCATTACTATTTTTTTTCCGTTGCTTGAAACCTTCCTTTTATTCGGTAGCGAGCTTTTGTATTTCGTTTGCTTGTGAAAGATTATGGTTTTTAAAATTCGAAGCGTTTTATACTTTTTTGACGTGACTCGTGATAAGGTCTAAAGAATAAAACAAATTATGATATCTATACCAGCTTACTCGTCCTCTGCTGCCTTCGAATTTCTGTTGATTCGTCCGAGAGGTAAAATAATTACCAACGCATTAAAAAACTAAATATATCTTGGTCCGCTTGCCGTCCCGCTTGTAACTAAGCACTGTTCTAAACGAAGAATCCTCCAGCTTGACACAAACTCGCGAATATTTAAAAAGGAAGAAAAAAGAGAAAAAACATAAACAAATACTCAATGCGACATTTTTCCTCATACAGCTCGTGCGCGCGTTATCAAAGTTTTTTGGCGAGAATGAATGAGAGACAAACTAGTGATATAATGATGAAAGAAAAATGGAGAAAAAAAAATGAAAATCAATTGCACAAATATTTTTTTAAAGCTCAACGTACATATACCGAACTCGTTATATTTTCTATATATTTGTAAGTAACAGAGCGTCTGCGTGTGTAACGTTATACGATGATTTTTTTTTTTCGTTCGCGTATATTGTTCGGAAAACCTTTGCGAACGATTGGAGACCAACCGACTTTTCCCCGAACAATCGAGCGCAATCGGTTTTAAAAACTCCGTGCATGAACTCGCTCGACATTACAGCTTGGGACGGAGGTGATTCGTGTGCACAAACGTAAAATTGACATTATCGACACGAGAATTGTGTGTCTTTCTGTGTCGGTAAAACATATTACCAGATATAGCAAAGGTAATTTTTAATTCGAATGCAATACATACCGTTCGATGTATTTGATTTTGCTCTCATTTATTTTTAAATCTCTCGTATCAGATAGCACAATCGACAAATTTCGGAATATATCTGCTACGATTTATCCGCAAACTGATCGACTTGATATTGAGAACTCTCGACAAATCAAATATCACATCTTGGGATGTATAGTAAAGAATTAAAATTTATGTGCGCGATGATTGACGCCGACCTTCGTGGCTCGTCGATGGCGGACCTTATTGAGGTGTAAAAGGGCGCATTTTCGAGGTCTCATCCAACTTCGGCGATGCGTCTTCTTGGACCTCTCTAAGACTCTGCATCCTCCTCGATTCCACGGTTGACCTCGCGAATTTTTGCCGGTCGATCGTTAATGCGGTCCTCCCTTAAATTCGATCCAGCCGGCGTTTTGCCTTCGTCTCGAGCTTCGTGAATTGGCTTGGCAATGTCCTATCGGATATTAACGATCTCGAAGCCTTCAAGTTTTTTTTGGGGTCGACGCGCCATCATCCGGCTCGGAACTACATTCTTCCCCGATTTGCAGTTTCGAGCTTCGATTCCCGGGATTTGCAGGTTTCGCGATTACACACAGATGTGTCAAAATTAAGGGACGTCCTAATCGCAATAAATAATGATATTGGGACACTATAAAGCTACCCTCGCACTCTCTTTGGCTTGCAAACCGCATGGTGTATAAATGTTGCGCTGAGGGCGGAAAAAAAAACAATTTTTCTTAATGGCTAGACAACCAAAAAACCAAAAACCATAAAAAAAAGAGAAAGAAAAGAACACAGAACACAGATTAACATTTAAAGAAAAACTGCGGGCTTTCTAGACGCAACAAGATAAGAAAAACAAAAAAAAGCTAAAAATCTCTCTGAAGACTCTCGAAAAAAAATCGTTATTTCAAATTGTGCGATAAGAAGAGAACAAAAAACACTACCTAGAAGGTTACTGTCGAGGTGTAAAGCTAAAAAAACAACTTTAACGATTATAAATAAAAGGATAATAATAATAAATAATAACAGCGAGAGCCTGTCGGCCAGTATAATGAACAAGCAACTGCCATGGGTCGTAGGTATAGATGAGCTAAGAATCCAATTTTATGCGAAACTAAAGAAACTCAATGCTAGCTGTCGAAGTCGCGAATTGTCCGTTATCGTAAAACAAAATAATAAACTTGTAAAAGTAAATAAAATTTATTTGAGAGGGAGCTCAAATGCAGGAGAGAGAACGAGAGAAAAAAACACATTCATTTGTTTATATATATATATGTTTGATGTCGAATAACCGATTAAAAGAAAAAAAAACAAACAAAACAATCCATACAGCAGATAAAAAATGAAAAAATGAAAAAAAGCATGGCCATTTTGAAATGAAAAAATACTTTTGCGACGCGACGTTCGAAATTTCTCACGCGCGACGATGAATTTTTATTGTTTCTGCGACATTTCAGTTTCAACGAGAACTTGTACGTGAGAAATTATCGACTTGGTTGAACGTGTGGCGAGATGATTGAGGAGTTAAACATGAGTTTTTGGATTATCCTGTGTTTGGTGTGAGTAAGTAAACTTCCCCATTACTGATACCACTCGCGAGTTTCAAAACTGCCAAACTTTTCAATTCTCTCGCTGGGCATTCAAACGTCGTCATAATTGGGTCGCAAAGGGAAAAAAAACTTTTGAAAATTACAAATGAGCAACCAGCGTTTTCACATCGCTCTTCTATTGAACTCCACAATTTACAAAAAAAAACACTCACGAGCGAACTGTATAAACAAACTGATTACCTTCGGAGAAAAAAAATGTAAAAGTCCGATGTGAATAAGCTGAACTAACAACAGAAAGCGAAGCGGTGAACGAGTTATTTGCACAATATTACATTTTATTCATTGCGTTTTATTATTGTTATTCAATTGCCGAGTACGGAAGTGAAAATTTGTATGGAAAGGCAACCGGATTTCAGGATGATGGCAAGGGACGAAAGAATATTGTTAAACGTGAAAAGAGTTAAAGTTAAATGAAAAATATACATGAGCGAAAAGATTCGGATGTTGCATATTATTAGTTTTGAGAAAGTGGCGAAAACGAGAAAAAAAAATTATGAACAATAATAAAGGCGATTCTAGTAAAGGATTTATATATTCGATCAACAAGGGAATAATAAAAAAAATAAACTACGAGAGAGATTGATTTGTTACTTACATTAGTTGATGAGACAAACAAAAACGACCCTTATATTGATTATTGTAATTATAAATAAATAATTATTATCGTAATAGTTAAAAATTAACAAGTTGTTACCGCTTTGTTATACACGATATTATTAATATACTAAGATTATAATACATAAAAATCTAAGCGAATCTATCGTTGATTAGTCCCCTTTTTTATCTTAGGCTGTAGTATCATGTTTTAATATTCTTTTTCAGAATCATGTGATAATATGAAAAAAACGTTTGACTTACCATTTGTCATTTCAACCTTACTTTTATTTTTTCGCAATGAACCATGTTTATGATTGTTTCTCGTTTAATAGACAATCCATCAATGCATATGAATAGTACTTTATATTTTATATTCCATAGTAACTTTTCGACAAAGACAGTTATATGGTATTCAAATACTGTTGAGTAGTTTTCTCTGATTTTATTAATTACGTATTTTTCAATATACTTTTAAATCCATAACATAACTTTCAAATTTCAAATTATTCTAGAATCTTGAACTGTTGTAAAATATATAAAGGTAAATGACAACATATATTATTAGAAAATATTTGTATCTTTTTTATCATCATTTCATACAAGGAGATATGATTAGATAGCAAACTTATATATATATAAATTTTTTCGTGATATAAAAATAGGTACATGGAAGATTTTGAGTACACTGAATTTATGTCAAAAATTTGATAGCTACTAATAGTTTGATAAAAAAATAACACGTACAGGCATTATTTTCATATCTTATAGGTATATCGCGAAGATTCACCAAACGTATCAAAATATATGTTAAACGCATTACTTTCAACAATTATCTACAATATTGAAACTATTAATTCTGGAAGTAGATATACAGTCGAACCCCCGGCACTTCTCGTTGCGGCACTTCTTGCGCCCCCGCACTTCTCGCTGGCTTCGCCGCAGCACTTCTCAAGGGGCAGGACCGTACACTGCCCCTTGCGTACCAGGGGGTCTCTCTTTCTCTTACGGCCTTATTGGAAGGCTTATTCTTCCCTCTTTATAATTTCAATAGATTTCCGAATATGTATGGATAATCCGACTTCAAACTTTTAGTTTTATGGATACACATACATAATCCGACATTAAACTTTTAGTTTTATGGATGCAGATAATCCGATTTTAAACTTATGAACCCCTTTATAATGATTTTACACTAACAAATTAGAATCTGACAAAAAAAACGCGATAGAGAATGTCTTAGACTTTCTCGTCAAACCAATTGATGCTTTTAATTTTTTTAAAGAAAAAAAAATTTTCCGATTTATTTTTATAATAAACAAAATTTTTAGCGATTTATTTTTATAATAAAAATGTAACAAAAATATAAAAAAATATGGTATTAAGAAAAAGAAGTATTTCGTTCGTTCATGTTTTACAAAGAAATTAAATAACTAATTATTGCCTATACATATGTAGAAATCATAAATAAAATTTATTTGCGTTCAATTTTTTAAATTATCAAAAAAAAGTTGACTGTCATATTAATTATACTTCGTTGTTAACGTATGAATTTTGTTTAATATAAGGCGCAGTTGCTTATTTTGAACTAACTATTTTTGAGTGCCCCAAAGGGCCCACGCGGCAAGCTACAGTATGCCCATACCTGGCCGTACGCTCTGATTGGCTGCCGCTCACCGAGAAGTGCCGGGGCGAGCTACTCCCGAGAGCGAGAAGTGCCGGGAGTTCGACTGTACGTTTTTTACAGAAAGATAAAACGTCATCGAATGTTCCAATTCTACAGAATATTCCAGATAATACTAAAATACTATAACTTAAGCAACAAGATTTAGCTCTAAGTTTTAGCTTATGATTTTATCTAAAACATTAAAATTACAACATTAATTAATTTTGCGATATTTTAATTGTCTTCGACAGACATTGAACTAAAATTATTCTAAATTAATTACGAGAACTAAATACTCGTCATGATTTTGCTTACAAGTTCTGGAAAGTTGTTTTAACATATAAACCAATTGCTGAACACAAAATAACACCATAACCAATTACTATTATTCCATTAATAGGACAGTAATTGATAATAATTACAAATAATTTTTGCGTTTGAGATATGAAGAGTCTTCATTGAAAATACAGCTTTCAATTAATATACTCAAACTATTGTAATTAGAACTTTAGCTCCAGTACCTTGACGTACAATCACACACATATAAATCTTGTTAATTTGAACTCAAATTTTTGAAATGCTCTCTTTCCGTTCGAATTGTCAAAATTAACGTGCATAAGTATCTTAACAATTCTTTCAGCGAGTAGTTACTTTATAGCAATTCTTTAATGTTTGATATCGTTTAAAAATATAGATACGTATGTTATTAAATGCGAGTTTTAATATCGCCAAATAGCAAAAAATTACACGGGTGTGTAATAAGGACACTATCGGCAATTGAACATGAGTATTTTTATAAACCAACGTGAACATTACCAGCCATAGATATAACATCAATATATGGTAAATGTTACTTTATAGTTTTGAATATTTTTTTCAATCTAAAAAATTCCTTGGTAATCTTCGTTAATCATGTCATAAAACCACCTGGGTATATGAAATAGTTTTTGCACAATTGAGGTATTGCTTCTTTTGCATTTAAGAAAATTAACAAGTGGTTTTATATTTATCTTAAAATTGGTTCTTCATATCTGGATTGTTGTCTTCTTTGGCGTAAGCAAACATAAATTGCTGCTACACTTAACAAGATCGTCGGCAGACCAACACCAATGGCTATCATTAATATGACCATGACAGAGAATTTTTCATCTAGAGGAACTCCATACCCAACAATGTAAGTCCTATAAAAAAAGAAGTTTATAATAATTACTAAATAAGTTTTTTAGATAATAAAGATATTATTTATTATTGATAATATTATATCTCACCATGTAGTATAATTAGTTGCTTTATAAAACTTATCTCGTTTTTCTCCCATTGAGATATTCATTCTTTGGACTAGAACATCATACATACCTTCTCCATAGTATTTGTACAGTAAGTTGTTAGAAAAGTAATTGTCGACTACAGCTTTTTGTAAAGGATAGTAAACTGTACCAGTAGAATTTGTGACATCACGATCTATGTGGGTATAAGACACTGGTCTCCATTGTAAATAACCTAATTTATTATTTATTTTAGGTGTCCTTAATTTCATGACCTTGAGAATACCAGAATATTTATATCAATAAATCTAATTAAGAAAAATAATAGTACATTACGATACAAGTGCGGGAAAGCAGATTCTTATCTCGTGTGGCGTTTACTCTCGAGCGAAGCGAGGGTGGAAAGGCACACGAGACGAGAAACTATTTCCCGAACATGTGTCGTACTGTATTTTTTGATACGATGTGTGGAAAGTGCGATTTTCAACGCACGTTTTCTGCCGAGCGTGCGGGAAAAACGCACTTTGCGCACGGAGTATCGAAAATAGATATAAATAAATAGGTACATACTTCGAAGGTACCAGGTGTAAACTCATCATCAAGTTTTTTTGTTGCATCAACTACTAATGTTGAACTAGCATTGTGTTCACTTACAATTATTAATTCAAAGGCAAATCGGCTTTGATTAAAATTTTCACTTGTTTCTAAATTGTCAACTATTATGTCAACTTGAGTTGCATTCTCAGAATGCAGCATACATGGCATTAAAAATGAGTGATTCTGACTACCAAATCCATGTACCTAAATAAGTAGAAAAAAATGTCATATATACTTTATAAAATTACAAGGTTTTATAATTAGAAACACTAACCAAAAATTTTAATGATCCTTTTCGAGTCTTATTAGTATCAGGATCTTTGTAATTGTTAGCTTCAGTATAAAATTCAACAAATGAATCATGTTTCGTCAAATTTTTATGGTGCCACTGAAAATTTTTCATTAGTAGCTCTTTGATATCATTGTCTTTAACTGTATCAATTCTCGCAGTATCACTACCATCCTGGAATTCTAGAATCTATACAAGAATTATTAAAGTTTAACTTTAGCTTCAAACAATTTTGAAAATATTATTTCTTACCCTGTCAATAGCCACCCCAAATGTATAAAATGGCTTTTCTGTGAAATTAACAGAATACTGGGAGCCTTTCAAATATTCATGCCAGTTAATATGAAGTTTCGCATTGTGAGAAGTAAGAGCTATAAATATAGTTGGAATATCTGTAAAATCCCAGAGGTAGTGTAATGTATCATTTAATCCATTGGCAATGACATGTCCAAGTTTTGCATTTTTATCTTTACAAAGTATATCACAGCCTTCATTAAATGCATAGTCCAGCTAAAAGTAAAAATGTATATAAATATTATTATAAAATAAATATATTCCTATTCTTCTTATGACAGTAAAATTAACATCATATAAATGATAATATTATCAATGGTAAATGTATTAGTTAATTTATATCGAACGTAATTTTGTTACTCAATAAAATTTTAGTGACAGATTCAGTTACCATGCTGGGGGAATATTACGATTATATTTTTACAAGAAATGAATTATAACAACAGAGTTAAAATATATCATTAAGTCTATCTATATAAAATATTTAATATTTTATCGAGTTAAAGAAAGATCGATAATGCATATGCATATTTAATAGCATTTAAATAAGTAAAATTAAAGTTTAATTATATTTAGTATTATAAAGTGCACAATCTAAAATATAAATTCATACCAATATTAGCTACACAATCACAACAGGAAACAATGAAATATATTTATAGAGAGAATTGCTAACTTTTGTTTCACAAAATAGACTTGAAATAAATAAAATGGAAAAAAAAATGTTTAGTAGAAAAAATATTTATTGAGTCACACTTGTGATAAAATTGTAATGATCAAACCATTATGACTCAGATGTCAATTAGTAACAAAGTATTATATACTGGAACAAAAGAAACATGAAACAGCTAATTATTAAATTACACTTACATTTCTTTTCAGACAATTGGAGCGACCAATAAAAATTAAAGAAATAACAGCAAGTAGTAATATTTGATATTTTGTACCAATCATTATTACTTTATGACAATTGTTATTTCAAAATTTTTATTAAATCAGTCACTTTAGGCTAACGCGCAAACAATACATCTGCGACGTAACTAAATCTCACTATCGAACACTGAGACGATAAAACGTTTTTGGAGAATGCAATGGAAAATATGCGTCAGCGTATATAAACTTCAGTATTTTCAATGACGTTGATAATATCAAACTAAACGAATAATACGATTCGAAAATAATTGAGCACTAACATTTGTGATTTTTATACGATTGAGAAAAAAATACTTTAGCACATACCACGACCGAGGTTATACATACTAATATAGGCTAGTACTAAAGTAGTACAGAATGTATGTATTGTATTGAAATGAAATGACACATATGCGTTGAAGTGATGAAGGGAGGGGGAAGTCGACAACACAACTTTTAAAAAAAAGCAGTGGGGATAAACAGATTATCATCTGTTGGTAAGTTAGATCTTTACTCACATTTTGCAAAAATATTTTTAACATATATATATATATATTATTGTAATTCTTAATCGAATTTGAATTTGGAAGAAATATAACGTTATGAAAAAGTGAAAAATATTACTTATCATTACATTGCTTTCTATTCACTACTCTCCCATTAATTTTACTGTATCTTGGACTATGATCTATTTTATATTTTTACACTTTTATAAGAATATCTTATGAAATTAGAAATAAATTATTTAGTTATTTAGTGATTTATGTAAATTGTGTAAAAACAGGTTAACAGCAGTTTCAACATCGAATTATTTGTAACAACACGTTTTTTCGTACATATAACAGTTTTACACGAAGAAATTTTTTTTATAAAATATTAACGAAACTTTATGTTATTTCATGATTGCGAAAGAAACTTTCTTCCAGCCCTCCTGAAAAAATGAGAGTAAGTTTTTTTGGAAGAACTTACCTTAAGAATTTGCATAAGAACTAATGTAAGATATCACATATGTTCTTACGTAAGTTGGTACGCAAGAATTTACCATTGATAGTAATTGTAAAACAATTGATAGTAAGTTTTTAAATAAGTTTTTACGTAAGTTCTTACGAAAGAACTTACCTTTGGTAGTGATTGTAAAACCATAGACGATAAGTTCTTACGTAAGAACTTACCATTGATGGCTAATTCTTAATTCGAAAAACACCCGCAAGTACTTACGTAGGAACTTATGTGATATCTTACGTTAGTTCTGATGCAAGTTCTTAGGGTAAGTTCTTCCAAAATAATTATTAATGAAATGTTTTCATTTTTTCTCGAGGGAGACGCGTAACCTGGGACACTTTTCACCCCGCGTTCTAATTTCTTTTGTAAATTTGTAAATGCTGTGTGGGAAGTCGCGCACATTAGCAGGGCATATGCTTATTTACGTGGATACATTTTTTTAAACAGATTTTTAACATCGCATTGCGATCCAAAAATAAGCACGGATCGATGCTCTGGAAAGAATACATGGAAAAATTGAAACTTGCATTTTTATGAGATAAATATTATCTAAAAAAATTTTCTCGTGCGAATCACCGTAACTTCTTAAATATTGATTGTATCAATATCATTCCAGTCTCGACTTTTCCACTTATTGTTATTCAAAAAAGTTTAATGGTGTTTACTTGTACGTCACCTTATATCTATATTAATGAATTAACCGGACTTACTTCGTTTCAATCTTAAAAACACTTTCGACGTAATCTGATGAAAATGTTATTGTGTTTTCAGTTGCAAAATTTTTGTTAAAATTGATCAGGTATAATAATTCGATGTTTATAAGAATACATTAAAACTACCTGATACAGGGTGTAAATTCAAGTGCGAAAAATATGTACATCTTTTCATAAATACAACATTATATGCGTTAAAAATATAAAGCTAGCATAATGAACCATAGCTTCCTCTATACTGAGATTCTATTCATTGATAATATAATCAATCATCTTGGATGATAATCACACGTGTGACAAATCCTATGTTTGTACTCATAATTTTTGTTATTTTTCCTCGAAAGCTTGTAAATTTTCCCAAATAAATCATTTTATTTTTATCAGTAAAAAGAATTCTAAGTAATAAGGACAAGGTGACTTTAGCAAAAGGTTACTACAGTGATAATATTGATTCAATTCGTCTCGCTAATGATGATAGTATATCATTATTCGCATGAATAATCAGTTCGAAATACGATTTACGTTTATAAATAACAGTTTTTCAATGTAGATCGCAGTGCTGAATGTTTTGGGACAAAAACCAGAATGGCTGGACTAACAACTAATTACAGCGAGTCTTGCGCTCGACATACTTGCAATCAACTAGGAATATTAACTCTTCTAAGCTGTGTAACACATCACTTGGGCTACTCTAACAATAAATTATTTACCCCAAAAAACAACAACGATCATAGCCGCGAAGAATATGATTTTATTATTGTGGGAGCTGGAAGTGCTGGATGCGTTGTCGCAAATCGTTTAAGTGAAAATATGAAATGGAAGGTATACCGTTCAGTTTTTACAAACGTTCGCATTATAATTAATACATATGTACTATTACGACACACTAAATTCTACCACTTTCTTTCCACGATTTGCTGAAGGCATAGAATCATTTGCTTTTGCTTTTTTATTCTCACTCGTATTAATATTGATGTTATTTAAAGGTCCTATTACTCGAGGCCGGAAATGAAGAACCAATAGAGACTGATATTCCAGGCATGTGGTTTAATTTCGTTGACAGCAGTTTGGATTATAAATACCAAATTTCTGTCGATTCGATTCAATCAAAAAATTCACTAGCACAAAGATATACCCGAGGAAAAGTTATGGGTGGAAGTAGTGCTATAAATGGCATGTTTTACACTCGTGGTAATAAAGAAGATTATAATGATTGGGCTAGACTTGGGAATACGGGATGGAGTTGGGATGACGTATTACCTTACTTTAAAAAATCTGAAGATGCAAAAGGATTTCAGGTAGAGAAATTATTTTATCAATTATTTTTTAAATATCTATCATTATATTTATGGTTCGTTTTGATTGGATACTGTTTTAGGATTCGAAATATCACGGAACTGGTGGATATTTGACTGTGGAACCGCCTCCTCAAACTGATCGTTACTTTCCTATATTTGTAAACGCCTGGAAAGATATCGGTTTAAATGAAACTGATTCTAATACTGGAAATCAAGTCGGTGTGGGCCCAGCTCAGTTTACAACTTTTCAAGGATCTCGAATGAGCTCAAATAAGGCATTTATTCGACCTATCCGTAGTACTAGACAAAATTTGACTATCAAAACAAAGGCTCAAGTTATTAAGGTCATTATAGACCCCAAAACTAAAGAAGCTATTGGTGTACAATACGAAATCAAAAGTTCATCGGGTAACATAATTAAAGAAGCATACGCATCTAAAGAAGTTATTCTTTCCGCTGGGGTGATAGAGTCACCTAAACTTTTGATGCTATCCGGAGTTGGACCAACCAAATATCTTAAACGATTCAACATTAAAATTATGAAGGACCTTCCAGTGGGTCGCAATTTTCAAGATCACGTAATGGTACAAGCAGCTATTTTTGATAATGAGAAGGTTTCGCCTCCTACATCTTGTCAAACAGTCGAAAATGATTTAGTCCATTGGTTTAATGAACACAAAGGTCCGTGGTCTATTCCGAATGGCGCGGGTATTGTCGCTTACCAGCAAAGTAAATTCGAAAAAAGACCTGGTGTTGCTGACTTACAATATTTTGTTTTGCGCAATCGACAATCCAATATAACAGGTCCGTACCTTGATAGTTTTCAAATTATTTTGATATTATTATCTACAAATCATCGAGGTTACGTGCGATTGAACGAAACCGATCCTGTCAGAGGTAATCCAACAGCTCGTTTTGATTCACTTCCTAGCGAACAAGATATGAAAGTTTTGGTGGATGGAGTCAAATTTGCTCGTCGATTAGATCGTAGTAAAGTACTTAGAGATAACGGAATTAATTTGTTGAAAAAACCTATAAAATATTGTGAACAATTTGACTTCAACAGTGAAAGTTATATAAACTGTTTGATAAAAATTACCATAGGCGCTGGAATGCACGGTGTCGGCACGTGTAAAATGGGTATTTCAAAAGATGCCGTAGTGGATCCAAAATTAAAAGTTCACGGAATCAAAAGATTGAGAGTAATTGACGCATCGATAATGCCAACAGTAGTAAAAGCAAACACTAATGCTCCCGCAATAATGATTGGCGAAAAGGGAAGCGATTTGGTTAAAAATGATTGGTTATAAGTGGCGATTGCAGTTTCTTTCAATATGATTTTTAACCTCTTGATAAAATATAGCATGATCATATGAGTGGACAAATGACTTCTGGTCAAATAATGTAATGTTATGTATGTACACTTTGCATTACTTAAATTTAAAAATAAATTTGTGTTGATACACTCGGGCGTATGGTTTTCAATGAAACAAGTTGAAATCTTTTTACGTTACACATTATGGTATTTCAAATGAAAATCCTTATAAGTGCAATAATAGTAATATTTGTTCCCGACTCGGAAAAGAATAGTTATTTTGTAGAAAATAATTGTGGATTTAACTTCGTTAAAAATGTTTAGTAGACTTTAAAAGTAACAATGTCGCAATAAAATTGCGAAGAACGTTGGTATATAACGACCTTACTAGGTAAGATTGAGTGTATTAGTAAATTATACATTAATCCTTTGACTATGGCGCGCTCTCGGACGAATCCATCTATATCGCGGCGCGTTTATCGCTTGTCAGTCGCTGCGACTAGTGGACATTGACAATGACCAAAATAGTACCAGAAAATTTGATGCCATTCTTAGGGTTTAAAAAAATAATGGCAACAAATTAACAATAGAGGACGTATATACGCTTTTCATATGAATTGATGGATTTGTGAGGGTGTATATAGCAGTCAAAGGGTTAATCCCAGAGACGTCAGTATGTTTGAAAAATTTTTAGATGTATAGTTGATATACAGTATCTCTTTTCTAGTTTTCAAAATATTTCTAGCATCGCCAAATGTGCTATTGATAAAAATCTGTTTAAATGCTTTTGCAATATATAAACAATAAAAATACAGTAATTTAAGAAACGACTGCATCTAGCTAATCAAATTGATACATTACCTACAAAAAATACCTACAATTAAAATATACGAATAGTTTTTGCGGATGTATGGGTTGTATTGTATCATCTACTTATATGTACACCAGAATATAAAATATCACTACATTTCAAATGCTCAAATAATATCTATTTGAAATTTTCATTTTACTTCATTTTACTCTAAAAAAATGTTTCTTTTAAATTTGGGGAAAAACGCTAATTTGCAAAATTTTTAATCCCGCAAGGCTGAACAAGTATCAAACTTCATAAGAGAAAAATGACTTGATTACTATTTAATTCATCTGCATCAGAATTAAGAACATTTCTAAGTTTAGTAATGCAATATTTTGGATGTTCTCGTGTTATCTTATTTATAAAATCTCATAAGATTCCAAATAATATGCAAAACGATTTCACCATTGTTGGAGCAGAAAGTACTTGATGTATTATAGCAAATCGACTCAAAAAAGACAAAAAAACTTTAATGTCTGTTAATACATATTCCTTACAAATTTTGTTATTTAAAGGAGACAATGAAAAGCCAATAGAACTTAAAAGTTGAACATGCTCGTTAGGTTTTGATATTAGAAAGTGGAGGAGAAAGAGCCCATTGCTGTAGATATACCAGTTGCCAATTATACTAAACAGCAATATTACTTACGCTAATTATTGAACTCTTGTAAACCCATATGGAATAAGCCAAGTGGTAAGAGAGCAACAACTTGACTAAGAGAAAAAGTTATAATGAAACCAGTATATTTAACGGTATGTGGTATATTAGAAGATACAAAAAGATTACAATAGTTGGACAAAGGATAGTAACATTAGGTGGGGTTGAAACAATGTTCCATTTTATTAAAAAAAATCAGAGGATGCTAAAGATCCAAGTATGTTCTTCACTTTCGTAGCATATTTTTAATTATCATGCGAATATATGATTCATATTATTTCAGTTGTTGGATGTTAGATAGCTTTAGACTAACAGTACCACGGAACTGTTAGATTTTGTCGCTTTTTACTATCCATCTCGTGAAAGACGCCTGAATGTTATTGACATCGAATATTATATTATGGATGTATCCAAACCTTGAAATGTCTGATCCTAAAAGTTATCTGACAATTTGAATGAACTTTTTAGTGAATCTTGAAGACACCGAAATTATGGTTGAAGGAATGAAATTTACACAAGAGTTAGCAGGCATTAAGACTAAGTATTAAGAACCAGTTAACTAAAGTATTTTACAATATCATGTATTAGTTGCGAAAATCAAAGTGTCGAAAGTAATATTTATTTACATTGTGTTGTCAGTAAACACTTGAGTTACGAGAATAATGGCGTGGGTACTTGTAACATATGACCAAAATCCAATAGAACTTCTGTAGTGACCCAAAGCTGAAAGTTCAACGGTCTGAGAGTAAATTGATGTATTCATTGTACCACATATATTTAGAAACAATATGAATGCTCTCATAATAATAAGTCTTAAACAAGTAAATGATATGATTATGAATGGTCGCGGAAATAATGAATATAATAAAAAATAAAGATTCTGTAAATCAAAATACAAATGCTTTTATATTGTTAGTTATATTTTATTCAGTATAAAAAATGTTCACGTTGAATAATAAGAAAACAAAAATAATATTCTGTAAACTACTAAAGTTTTATCTGCTACCTATTCTGAAAAATGAGTTAGTAAAGCTTTATCTTTACAATGTCTTAATTGTTAGCTAATTTTCTTAGTGTATTGAAAGTCGTGCCATTAAAATAGAAGCTTTCGTATTCTTGACATTTATAACACAGTATTTTGGGCAATCTTCCGATAATTTATTCACCAAAGTGTCTGATAATGATTTCATGGACGAAGATAAACATGATTTCATTATCGTGGGAGCTAGCAGTGTTGGTCGCGTTGTGGCTAATCAATTGAGTAAAAAGCTACTTTTAAACGTTTGATGGAAAAGTTGTTTCGAGATCTTCTTGATGATATTTGTTTGATTTACCTGGATGATGCTATAGTTGTAGCAAAATCATTCGATGAAATACTGAATAATTTTTGTAAGATTTTTCTGAGGATCCAAAAAACTAATTTTGAGCTGAATAGGAAAAAACGTGATTTCTTTCAACCTAAAGTAGAGAACTTGGAGCACATTATTTGAGAAAATGGAAAGAAAACTGATCCTAACCCAAAAAGATAGATGCTATGATTTCTTGACCTATCCCTTGATGTAACGAGTAAAATGCTTTACCGGATTATAAGTGGTTCATTATAAGGAAGTTTCTTCTATTGCTAAACCACTCTACCGCTAAACCAAGAAGAAAGCTAAATTTAATTGGACAAGTAACTGTCAAAACTCATTTTTGAAATTGGAAGAAGTTCTATTAGCTACATCGTACTTTGATTTTCCTTCGTACTGATTTACCTTTCATCTCAGATATAGATTCTTCGGATCGTGGAATAGGAGGTGTCTTATCTCAAATCCAAGATAGAATATAAAAAGTAATAAGTTATTATTGTTGTGTTTTAACAAAAATTAAAAGGAACAATTGTATTACTCGACGTAAATTGTTTGCAATAGTAGATGCGATTAGACATTTCCATCACTACTTATGTTGTAGGCCTGTCTTCATACGTATTGATCATTCGCCATTAACATGACTCTTTTCTTTTAAGAATACGGATGGTCAATTCGTACATGGATAAAAAAATTGATCAGTATGATTTAAAAATTCTGCACCGTAAAAGTATTTTACATGTTAATACAGAGTGACTTTCTAGACAGCCTTGTAATAATTCTACTTGTATATACTGCTTTAATCTAGAATTAAGATATACTGTTGAAGATTATATAGGGCGCGTTCTATTCGAGGAAACATTTCATGAAATTTGGCGAAATCGATAACGTAAGGATAACGTCATTCAAATTGTCTTAAATAGTGAAAAGAAGAGGGTTAAGTTGTTGTGGCAGGATATTTCTTCTGAAGATGAATATATATAAAAGTGTTAGTGATTAGTTGTTGTACATATTGTCTATTTTGGAAGAAACTCATGATTCTCCTTTTGGTGGCCATTTTAGCGTTAATAACACTATAAAAGTACGTAAAAGATTCTATTGGATTTCTTGTAAGAAAGATGCTGAGAATTGGTATAGGTCTTGTCCGAAATATGTAACAAGAAAGGAACTTTCAGATAAAGGTCCGATGAAGACCTACAATGACAATCTACAAAGGATAACCTTTTGAAAGAGTGATCCAAATGAATATTTTAGGCCCTTTTCTAAATTCTTCTTTGGGAAATAAATACCTCCTCGTAATAACAGATTGCCTTACTAAATGGATCGAAGCTTTCCTACTTTCTATTATAAGGATAAAGACTGTTGCTGAAATATTTTTTCCTGAAATTATGTGCAGATATATAGTTTCTCTAGAAGGAACTGATATATCATACTGATAGGGACGTAATTTTAATGATAAGTTAGTCAAGGAACTATGGCTGTTGTTAGGTATTAACGAAACTAGAACAATACCATTACACCCATAGTTAAATGTATATAAGTAGAAAATAAAATCAGACAATACTCAATTACTTGTCCAAATACGTATCAGACAACTAAAAAGAATAGGATCGTTGGGTTCCACTGTGCCTTTTCACTTATAGATCCTCGATAGACTCGACAACAGCAGTCACTTTAGCCGAGGTGACGACTGGTAACAATTTACCACTTCCACTTGATTTATTGCGCGGAGCTCCTCCTGCAACTATTGAACCAATGGATTCTCGAAAGTACGTACACCCACAGACAGAAGACAACACTTAACAAAATACCTCACTTAGCCAGACAAAACATCAAGATGTTATCCCTATGAACAAAGAAATATTTCGACTGCAAAGATCGGCACGCTAATTTTCGGAACAATCAGAAAGTTTGATTCTACAATCCTCGATGAGTCAAAAGTAAAACACCAAAATTTCAAGGTGATTGAGAAGGATCCTATAAGGTCATGAAGAAAATCAATGATATCGTTTTCGGCATTCAAAAAAGTACAAAACACAAAAAGAAAATCATCATTGCGAATATCACCGTTCAATATCTGACAAGCTCTTGCTAACAAATGAAATTACTCTTGGATCAGATTGTTCGTCAAACTGTAA